TTTAAAAATTATAATTAAAGAAGTGCATTTAATTCAGATAAAATTATTTCAGTAAAAATTAAGCAATAGAATAGCTGACTTGCTACTGATACCGAAAAATAGCTTCTATTGTACTTAAGGCGGAAACAATGAATAGAAAAAAAAAATCTTGTAGTTATCTGGTGTCTACAAGGTTTCCTCCTTGGTCCTGCATTGTAAATATAATTGTAAATAAACCTGTTGTTGCTGTTAAGTTTAAGTCTTTGTCCCATTGTCATAAGGTTTATTCTTTTATAATATAAATATACTATAAGCATATTTATTTCTTTATAATAAAAATGTTTTCATGGTTGCTGCTTAAGCAAGCTATTAATGAACAAACATATCTTGTTTCACCAACCAACACAATCTTGTGACATTCTGTATAATTGCCTTTTTATTTTAAAGACTTCATCTTGTTTTTATTTTAAAGACTTCATCTTGTTTTTATTTTAAAGACTTTATCTTATTTTTATTTTAAAGACTTCATCTTGTTTTTATTTTAAAGACTTCATCTTGTTTTTGCTATAAATATCAAGTTTTTTTCATCTTTATGTTGACTCATAATATATGCATTTACAATTTTTTAAGTTTTTTGTCAACATTTTTTTTAGTTTTTAGGTTAGATTTATTAATGAGTTTTAAAATTATAATAAAAATTTTATTTTTTGGTTTAATTAGGTAAGAAATTTTACTACTGTTAATACTGTGTTCTTTCTTATCAGGGCAGAGTTAATGTTAACCTATTTTAAATACTTAATCATGCCCTTAAAAAATGGTCACTGTGTGATCCACAATTAAATCAAAGTATCTCTTTTCTTTCACATTGAATCTTATGTATGAAAGGGAAGTGGGGGCATAACCACATATGGAGGCACAACCGTTTTTTAACATTTCATTTTGGAAAATGTTATCTAATATGGCAAATAACATACCACACATTAGTAAAACAGTTTCCTTCATTTTGCTTATGCTAAAAAGATATGATGATAGCTCTGATGATGACAAAGAAGTAAATATCAGTTATACTGAAAGTATAACTGATAAAGTAAAAAGTATCAAAAATAAATTGAATTCAGCTCAACAATTCAAACTTTTTATTGAACAATCAGACACTGAAATGAAACTTGACCATCAGAAATTGGAACAAACCTTGATCAAAAGAGAATGGCTGTTTTTGAAGTTAGCAAAGCTAGGTCTGTGTATTTAAACTTACCTTTCGAAGCTCTTCAAACAGTCCTCCTACATCCTTAAAAGCTAAGAGAGCTTTTTCTAGTCTTGGTAGCTTTTTGCTACTAAATTAGAAGTTCTTTAAATGACACTATAAAGAGTACTTGTTGATATTATTTACTTTTGTCCTAACTAACGATGATAAACAAATAAAAAATTTTTACGCACACTTTGTATTACTTTTGTGTACATAACTAAAATATAGTTCGAATTGTTCAAACTTTTTTCCATAATAGTTCAAACATGTTCAGGTTTGAACTTTTTCGAAAGTCCTAGTCAGGGGAAATAGTTTTCAAGGAAAAAGTCCTTATGTTTTTTAGTTAAGTCAGAGAAATCTTTTATTAAAAACTAGTATAAACCCTGTTGATATATATATATATATATATATATATATATATATATATATATATATATATATATATATATATATATATATATATATATATATATATATATATATATATATATATGTATATGTATAACTCGTTTCTCTGCGCAGCGGCCTTGTTCGTCAAGGTTCGTGTTTCGGAGTTATAGAGTTGAGAGAGGGTTATATAACCACAAATAAGTAGCCTCCTTGTCTGTAGTGGCCTTTTTGGCTTTGAGGAGGTGAATTAACAAAAAAAAAAATATATATATATATATATATCAATCAATACTTTCTGATTGCTTGGAGGGGGCATTAGAGCTTGAAAAGGATCTCACTTCTGCTACAGCGTGGGGCTCATAGTGGCTGGTGAACTGTAATTCAGATAAAACTCTTTTTTTCAGCCAATCGTTATTGCAATAATTTAGATCTTCCTATATTTATGAATGGCAATGTACTCAATGAGTTATCTACCCTTCATCTTCTAGGTTTAACTCTTACTTCTGATCTTTTTTGGAAACAGTTTATCAAATCTGTTGCAAAATTAGCATCTGCTAAGGTTGCATCTCTTTATCTCTATAAATCTCAAATCTGGCCTTGTATGGAATACTGTTGCCATATCTGCAGGGTGGCCACTGGTTATGGAAATTATGGAAATGTCATGGAAATTTGTTTGGTCATGGAATTCTTAAATTTTTATTGAAAGTCATGGAAAATTCATGGAACTTTTTAAAATAAATTTTATATTTTTCTACTTATGATATTTTTAGGATGCAAAGAAAAGTACTTGTATGTCTAGTCTAAGTCTTTTTTGAAAAAGATATTTTGGCAGTGTAAGTTATAGATTATCGTTTTATTGCAATAAAATGTTAATCTATAACTTACACTGCAAGTTTATTTTACGCTCAAAAGATGTGAAAGAAGCTACAAAACTCAAATTTAAAGATTGCATTAATATGCTGGTTAAAATTGTTGAACAACTGCAAGAAAAAAGTCCTTTAAAATATATGTTAGTGCGAAATGCAGCATGTCTATCTGCAAATAATATGGTTAATAACAAAGAAGTTGGATTTTCTTGTTTAGGTCAGCTAGTTGATGTTAAGATAAAAATAAAAAGGAAAATATTATTAATAAAAAAGCAAAAAAAAAACTTATCACTGAAGAATTTATTGGTGTAAAAAAGAGAAAGAAAGATATTCAATGGTGTATCCTTAGCCTAAACAAAGAAATGGAGCGTTTTAGCAATCAAGTAGAAGAATCTAATTCCATTGAAGTATTCATTAAGCCAATGCTTTCAGGCAAAAAGTAAAAGAAAAGCAAACCCTTATTGAACAACTGGATAATGCTATAAAATGTATATATATATATATATCTATATTAATTTTAGTTCTAGTTTACCGCTATATTTATAGCTGTAAATTAGAAAGAAAAATAATTAGTTTTACTAGGGTTTGTTTTTATAGTTATATAGTTTTGTTTAACATTTTAAGTTGAAAGTATTTTTTTAAGTCATTTCATACCTTGGAAGAAAGTTTTATTTCAGTAAATTAGTTTGATTTTTTCAAATATTTTTGTTCAAAATTTAACTTCTTTACTTAACCATTCATACAAAAGATTCTTATCAATAATTCTTGCACCAAAAAAGTTATAATTGATAGTTATTTGTTAATCAGAAACCTGAAATGTTTAGAATAAAGTTATGTTAGCAATCAAAGAGGTTAGTCCTCAAAATACTTAAGCCGCAGAACAAATGTTTTGAGAAAATTTGCTTAGATCAGCTATTTTTAATTCCTATTTTAAAGTGTTATATCTTTCATGAAAGTAAATTTTCTCAAAATATTTTTTTTGTGACTTAAGTACTTTTAGCACTAAGCTCCTCAATTATACTCTATTTTATGTGAATATAACTATATAATAATATAATATTTTATGTGAACTGTTATTTGTTCATAAGTAGATCTAATAAAGATTATTTTATTTATTTTTGTAAAACAATTGTTGGTAAAATAGCATATTGTTGTTAAAATATATATATATATTTTCTTTCAAAAGATTAAAAGCATAGTTTTTTTTTAATCTACACAAAAGTTAAAGTTTGTAATTAGAGTTAGAGTAAAACACCCAGTACTCCTCATGTGCTTTTACTTGGTGTCCCCGTGTGCTCTTACTTGGTGTCCCCATGTGCTCTTACTTGGTGTCTTAAAAAATCACATTCCATTTTTAAAGTTTTAAATTTGACTGACCAAAGTTTGACAATTTTAAATTGTCAAACTTTGGTCAGTTATGCAAACATCAGAGCTTTTTTCAGACATGATTTCAGAACTTTCTAGCAATTAGTTTTTGGTTTGCATGTTTTATAATGATCAAGTTGCAAATGCTTCGTGCATGACAAATACTGAATATTCTACTCTAGTGATTAGTTATAAAAGTTTATGAAGAGTCATAGAAAAGTCATGGAACTTCGTTTTCTAATTTGAGTGGTCACCCTGATCTGGGGTGGATCTTCTAATGATACCCTTTCTCTTTTAAAAAAGGTGCAAAAACGAATTGTAAACATAGTTGGATCTGCTCTTGCAGCCAACCTCTAACCATTATCACATCGTTGTAATGTTGCTTCACTTTCTCTTTTCTACAAATGCTATAATGGGCACTGCTCTAAAAAGCTAGCGCCTCTTGTGCTATCTACTAAAATTCATTATTGTGTTACTCATCATTCAATTAAGTCTCATCCTTTTTCTGTAACTGCTCCTAAGTGCTCCAAAAACTCTTATTCGTCTAGTTTTTTTCCTCAAACATCAATTTTTTGGAATTGGCTTCCTTCATCTTGTTTTCCTGATTCATATAATTTGCGATCTTTTTAAGTTGTCTGAAAATCGTTATCTAGCTCTACAATATTGATCTTTTTTCTTCCAGTAACTTCCAACTCTAATAGTGGTTGCTTGCAGTCTTGTTGGAAGCGAAGATGCTAATATATGTATATATATATATATATATATATATATATATATATATATATATATATATATATATATATATATATATATATATATACACACACACATGTATATATATATATATATATATATATATATATATATATATACACATGTATGTATGTGTGTGTATATATATATATATATATATATATATATATATACACATGTATGTATGTGTGTATATATATATATATATATATATATATATATATATATATACACATATATATATACACACACACACACATATATATACACACACACACACATATATATATATATATATATATATATATATATATATATATATATATATATATATATATATATATATATATATATATATATATAATTTAAAACAATTTTAACACTTAGTTTTATTTATAAAGGGTCTTTTGATGGTAAAGTTCATATATGGTCAACTGATAGTGGGAAAAGAATAGCTCTTCTTGATGGAATGCATCCAGGACCCTGTTTACGGATACGTTTCAACCCAAAGTATATGATGTTTTCAACTGGATGTTCAAATTTGGTATTATATTTATTACTATTACACCTTTTATTATTATTATTATAAAACTGATCTTTTATTTGTTATATGGCTGAACTTTCCTTCTTTCTCTACTTAAAGCTGAAGATTAATAAAAATGAGAAACAGAAACCACTTATAATTATACAAATAAATATAAATACAAAATAATAGTAATTTTTTATTCTAGTAATGAAAGAAGTTGTCAAAAAACATTAAAAAAAAGAAGTTCAAATAGTAATTTATAAAAATAGCATTGACGCATGTTGAAAATCGGGAAAAAATCGTGCACATTCATGAAAAAATTCCATCATAGAATTACAAACGATTCTTAAAAGCTACTGAAACTATTTTCTGTTAAAGGGTTATAAAAAAAAAAATTTTCTAACAATTTTTTGTGTTTAATAATATTCGCTGTTCTTTTAAAAGAAATCCGTGCTTGTCTAATAGAGAAAGAGCTAAAAAGTACAAAGTTTCTGCTTTTTTTTGGTAAAGAAAGTGAGGAAATACTACAAATACAAGTCTTTCCAAGCAATTAAATACCCAAATCTTTCTTACAAACAAAATTCCACTGTTGAAGCAGGAAAAATTTTCTTTCATTTCTTAACTTTAAATAAAAGTTAAAGATATTTGTAAAAAAACAGTTTGAAGTAAAAATTTATATTATTTTTTTATTTCACCTGCCTTTCAATTCACCTGCCTAAGGCCCAGGAGTACTATAGTGGCCCTCTTAATGGGGAGCTGATGATATTATAAAAGGCTATTCATTACTTTTTTATGGTATTTTTTGTTTGTTTGTTTTTCTTTTAATTTTTGCAATGTCTTTTTCTAAACCCTTTAACTCCAAAATACAAACCTTGATGAAAAAGAGTGCTGATTGAAAAAAAAGAGATAATAGGTTCAAGAATTTGGTAAAAATCGGAAAACAAAAGATCTTGTTTTTGATTTTAAAGAACTTTTTTTTTTTTTTTTAATATTATATTTTAAAAATTTTATTTTAAAAACAAGATTTGAACTTGTGTAGCTTAATGATTGATATACACAGTTGCTCCTTTGCATTTTTTGAATACTCCTCATTGTAATGTAGACAATTAATGTAGACATTTTTACAAGATTGCAGTCTAACCAAGCTAACCTTGCTATAAACTTAAAAGTTAACAAATCTACAAGCTTGTAAAAGGTGAAAAACATTTAGAAAATGAAATGCTCTTTTGCATTTTTTGAATACTCGTCATTGTAATGTAATTGTTATCTCTGTTGGCACAAATGAAACATATTCATCTCCTACTCATTTTTCTGAACGAATTCTTGTTCTTTGCAGGCTCTTTTTGAAACAAAACGCTTTGTTCAGTATTTTCTTTATTATGTCATTTTACTTTTATAAATCAATATTCTAACAAAGTTTCATTTAAATAAATTATCAATTGACGTAGTTTACTGAGACTTTAATTATCCTAAAATTTGACGTATATTGTGTCAATCTTTTGCAGTTAAACTCTAAATTAAACGAAAATACTCTCAATAAACGCCCTCAGTATTCCCTTGGTTGAGGGAAATTAGTTTTTGAAAAAAAAAACCTAAACTATAATCTTAACTATATAAATATATTTACATATACAATTAATATCTGACCCTCTCATATTTTTCATTGCAATATTTGACCAAAACATAGTGGATGATGATTATTACAAAAAAATGATCTTGCCTGTTTACAAATCTGCCATGACTGATAAAGAAAAATTTCCCCTTGCTCAGTATGCTGTTTTAATGAAAGTTGGAGCAAAGTGTCATACCGCAAAAGCAATAATGGATGTCATCAATAGGGAGTTCAACAATGTCTGGACTGATTGGCCAGGGAGTTCACCTGACCTTAATTGCATTGAGCATGTATGGGCAAGGCTTCAGAACAGCGTTTTAAAAAATCCCAGACCCTAAAACCGCCAACAACTTATCACAAGAGTTAAATAAAATGGCTTTGCATCACCCAGGATGAATGCTAATCACTTATTAAAAGTTCTCGCGGCAGAATTTTGGAATGTTCTAGTAAAAATGGTAGAATCAGGCATTATCTTTTTTCGGATATTTTTTTAAACTTTTAGCTTTTCCGGATATCCAAAGTATTTTCAATACATGCAAGTTGAGGTATATTTTTTTGTAATATATTTATTTTTTAAGCTTTTTCAAAAAAATTATGAAAAATATCAAACAAAATTAGAAACAACTTAACTAAAAGCGTAATTAAAAAGAAAATATGGAAAAACAAATTCCGTATTTTTTCCGGAATTTGTTTTTCCGAAAAATTTAATTCATCTAGTTTTTTTTAAACTCTCTCCCATCTTCATGTTTTCCTGACTCATACAACCTTCAACTTTTCAAGTCTTCTGTCAACCATTTCCTTGCTCTATAACTCTGTTCTTTTTTTTACCTAGTAACTGGGGGGGGGGGGTCAGAAGTTAAACACCCTATATATATATATATATATATATATATATATATATATATATATATATATATATATATATATATATATATATATATATATATGTATGTATGTATGTATAAATATGTATGTATATATATATATATGTATGTATGTATGTATAAATATGTATGTATATATATATATATGTATGTATGTCAGACCTAGGATTCGCTCAGAAAATTCAGAGCGGCGCTCAATTTTTTTGTTCAGCAGCTTTGTATGAACGGACGCTCGCAAATCTGCTCTTAAAATTTCTTGAGCGGGCGCTCCGCTCATTCGCTCACAAATCCTCTCATAAAAAAGTTTCAATAACTTTCCCAATATTTATTTATTGGCAGCCCGTTCACATCGTTTTAATTGTCAGTTGGTCACATAGTAGGAAGGAGTAACACGAATACACGACAATATTAGGATATAATACAATAGTAGGAAGGAGTAACACGAATACACGACAGTAGTAAGATGAAGTAACACAAATACATGTTATACAATTATTAATTAAATAATAACTAATATGACAAATGGAATATTGTGAACCAAATTACATTGGTCAAAAGCTTTGACCAATCTAATTTGACCGCTTTTTCACGGTCGATGGAGTCTCATTCCAATCTTTGAAAATATTGTTGTTGGTTTTATATAAAGTCAAATTCTCAAAGATGCTATCAGTCATTGATCCCCGTTTGGCAGTGAAGATGAGTCCTCCAAAACTAAATGTTCGCTCGCAAGCTGCAGACGAGGGCAACGCAGTATTGTACTGCCTAAAAAATTATAAAACATTTAAGTCTTAATCAGTTCTTTTTGTGATTTATAGTGGATTTAAAAATGATTAAAATATACCTGAAAATCGATTTAATCGTCGGATATCTGTCTAGCTGAGATCGATCACCTTGCTCCTCATTGAAGTAACGATCCACCTCGTCAAGATCACTCGAGCTGCGTTTTTTGTAGGCATCCAAGAATCGCAGTCGCTGCTTCGTAACACGATTTTCATCCGTGGTCGATCCGCTAAATAGATCCGTATCCGTAGAACTGTCGGACCTTTATAGAAGATCAATGCAAAGGTTTTAAATACTACGTTTTAATTTTTGAAAGAGCAGGACTCGATATTATAGGCTATTGAAAGAAACGGGCTACAATAATTATACTTACAGAGAGCTCCCAACTCGGAGAATTTCCTTTCTAGCAGTGACTTCACGTTTCAGAAGGCGGATGTCCAAATAACGATCTTGTTCAGATACCCAAAGAAGTTTGAATTGAGGATCAGAGAGTGCAGCAACGCGAAGTCTTGAGTCATGGAACATGTCGCCAAATCTCTTTTGCAAACCCCACAGCACGGCTTTAATGAGGCTTTTGCAATGGACGATCGATGGCATCTTTTCCATTCCCGATAACTCTTCTTTGGAACAGCTGGATAGAAGGCAGCAGACATCCAATTGAGACGTTTGATTCATTATGAAAAAGGTCCAAAACCTCAGACAAGGGTTTCATGATGATGGTGTACTCGATGACGTACTCGATCTCAGCCTGAGTGAATTTCTTGATGTCACCAAGGTCTTTGCAAAGCTTATCAAACGCATCGTTTTTGTTGACAAGGAAATCTCTGACCCGATCCACAGCGTCGTAGTAGCCGTTCCATCGAGTGGCATTGTGAATAACAACTAATTTTCCCATAGTCGACTTGATAAGATCCGACTTCAAATAACTCCTGTTCTGATGATTTCAGATTGCCTGCAGTTTTCCATCTACTTTTCTCTTCAACTTCGTAAATGAGCTCTGATGGTCCTTGAAACAGACATAGTCTTTGGCTGCTACTAGGTTAAATAGGTGGCATCCACATTTGAAATGAGGAAGAAGGCGAATTTCGTCAGTTAAGGACTCGATGGAATCGTTGCTCTGGTTCGAAGCTTCTTCATCGCTATGTTCGGAATCAAGACATTGCTTTTTTTCTGGTACAGGAGGGCGTGCAGGTCCAGCACTCAAAATCTTCGATATTTTAAAAAACTCCGTTACCTCGCCATCTTCGGACGAGAGATTCCCGTCGTCAGAATTATTAGAGGTCTCATCAAGTAGTTGCAATCCAAAAAAGTTAAATGCTTTCAGGAAGTTTGAGCCATTGTCCGTGATGGTGGCGACGACCTTTTTTTCAATGCCAAATTCGGTGTGTATGTCGTTGATGGCGTTCGCTATCACATAGGTGTGGCTCTCTTTGGTTTGGCGAATGGCAAGCAAAGCACTCCGGCGGGTGAGACCATCAGACCACCAGTGGACGGTCATCCCGATGTAGCTTCTGCGATTTTTTGTCCAACAGTCAGCTGTGGTGCAGACGTATGAGACCTCTGCCAACGTTTCCTTCAGTAGCTCAGTCTTTTCCTCGCACTCCTTGTCTAGTAGCTGTCGATAAAAATTTGGACTTCTGATCTCTAGGTTGTCGACCAGCGGCAGCAGCAAACTTCTTAAACCAGCGTTGTGGACCGAAGAAAATGGCCGCATATCAACAGCAATATAATTCTGGAATAGCAAATAAATAAATTACACTTTAGCATGGCAAATAAAGACTTATCAAATTGCAGTTTACCAGCACATTGTGGTCCAATTCCTTTTGAGTGATGGGCTGCTTGTTGATCTTCCTTTTAGTGTTCTTGACCACAAAGTGTGCATCCAGAGTAGACTGCTTTTTGTTGGATTGTCTGGCCCACATTTTCTCAATTTTTACGGGCACCATCATTTTTGCAAGATTATAAATAATAAAACTATTCTTTATTTAATAGTTTGAAAGACAGTTTTTTTATTTACGATATTAAGTATTATATTGCAGTATTAACTTTTTTTATCAAACCGATTTTATGGTTTCCGAGCATAAACCAACGTTTCCGAAGTTTAGTGCTAACTCTGTGGGCGCACTTGCAAAAGGCGTGGCTACACTCATTTCAAAGTTTTAAACCCACGCTGGATTTCCAATAATGGCGATTTGTTGATGTTTTGTTGGAGTTTTTTCTTTTTAAAGGGCCTCCAACTTAATTTGCACTGGGGTCCCCAAAATGTCACGGACCGGCTCTGATAATATAATATGATAAATGAAAATTTAAAATAAGTATTTTGTTTACTCATTTTTTTACTAAGCTTTTTAAAGCATTTCTAATTTCTTTTTTAAATTCAACTTGTTCCAAACAATTGATGTGAAGAAATTATAATATATATATATATATATATATATATATATATATATATATATATATATATATATATATATATATATATATATATATATATATATATATATATATATATATATATATAAAGAATATATATATATATATATAGAGAGAGAGAGAGAAAATAAAATTTAAGTGGATTTTTTACCTTTTCTCGGTTTTTTATAATTACAGTGAATGTATTTTTATATTAGTTTTGTTTGTTTTGTTAGGCATTTTGGATTCCTGATTTAAGCGAAGTCGAAAAATAATTTTGGAAATTAGTTATAGTTGTAGCTTTGAGGTTGCATTTGGTTTGTTTTGTGGCCGTAACAGTATCTACGCAGTTATCACGTTGCAAATGGCTATATTCGATAAGTCAAATTTCAAATAAAAGAAATGAAAGAACTTTAAGTTATTCGAAGAAATTTTTTACAAAATGAAAAATAGAATTTAAAAAGTTTTAGATTTTTTACTTTTAAATACACTTTCTAAACTTTAAACTTTTTCTTTTTTTTTTACATTTATAAATTAGTTAAATGTAGTCATTCTATGGCTACATTCAACTAGCTACAATCATTGTTATATATTTCGCAGCGAAGAAGACAACGCAAGACTGGTTGATTGAATTTTATATTAATGGTAACGGTAACCTTTTTTTTTTTTACAATAATCATTGTTATATACAGTATCGGACAAAACAAGTACAACCAAATAATGCTAATTTAGTTTCTTTATATAAAAGTGTTGCATTTTTTCAATTTAGAGAAATAACTATGTAACTGTTTAGAGACAACGTTCTTCAAGTTTTATTCATCACAAAGTTATTTGTACACGAAAATTAATAAATTAATCAAAAGTATTAAAAAAAATTGATTTCCTTTTCGACAAAACAAGTGCAACTCCACAAAATGTTGATCAAGCTGTATTTCGCTATCAATATTTCGTGGCGAATCCTTTGTTGTCGATCACAGCCTTGCATCTTTGAGGCATAGGTTCGATCAGGTGATCAATGAAACTTTGTGGAATCGCTGCCCAAGCCTTTTGGATATGTTCAAACAGTTGATCCTTATTACAAATACCTTCACGATTAATTCTGCGGTTGACGATCTCCCACAGGTTCTTGATAGGGTTGAGATCCGGAGATTGAGGCGGCCAATCCATGACCGATAGGTGGTTGTCTTGAAACCACTGCTTGACTACTTTTGCAGTGTGTTTCGGATCGTTGTCTTGCTGAAAAACTCATTTTATTGGCATATTCCATTTAGCATGAGGTAACATAACATCTTTTAGGATATTTTTATACATGAAACGGTCCATTATTCCATGGATTCGATGTATTGGACCGTTAGCAGAAAAATACCCCCAGACGGTCTTATGGCAGTAACGTTAATTGAGGCGTTTTCCGGCCGGTCGATGTACACGGCATCGCTCCCAATGATGTTGAACTTCGATTCATCACTGAACAGGGCAGTTCGCCATTTCTGTACAATCCAGTCAATATGAAATGTAGCAAACAGGAGTCTTTTCTTCTGGTTCTTAAGTGAAATCAGCGGTTACTTTCCAGGGCGTCGAGAAAACAATTCGGCTTCAACAGCACGTCGTCTGATTGTTCGATCCGTTCTAATTACTTTTGTATCTCGACTGATGATATCCAGGGATCCTTCTTGACGGATCTGACGATCATAGAATCCTCTCTAGAAGTGGTGGAGCGCGGTCTTCCACCTTTGTTATCTGTTGCCAACTTCCCCGTAGAACGATATTTGGAACATAGTCTTAATACGGTCCATTTTTTCATGCGATATTTATCATAAATAATATTTTTAAAATAAATTTTTTGTGACAATAATTTTCTTTCTTAGTTTCAATCCAAGGCTGTCGGGAGCCACCTTTGCACTTGAAGTCATAAAAAGTAATAAAAATAAATAGTTTCAGTTCTTGTATTGATGTTCTTCAATAAAACACTTTGATAAAACTCACTTCGATAAACTGTCTTGATAATACTGACTGATTGACTTCCATATACTGACTGAATTACATGTCGGTTTACATGTCTCTTATATAGTAAAATGAACCTGTTCTGGAAGATTCTAGATGCTTCTTTTCGATGCTTCTGAATGTTTCTAGATGCTTTTTCTGAAAACTTCTGGAAGCTTCTGCATGCTTCTGGATACTTCCTTTGATTTTTAAAAAACTTTCGTGACGTTGACAGGAACCAGACTTAGGAAAATGAAACAAACCAAAAAAGTTGTACTTGTTTGTCCGCTGCAAAATGGCACTTGTCAACGAAATTCTGCCTGTGTGCTGTCAGCTGATTGCTCATGTCATCGCAGGCTATGACTCCAGACTCCTGAACTGTTTGCTGTGGTAGTATAGTTCGTTTTTGTTTCTAAGACATGTAAAATTAGGAACACTTTTAGCATTGTTCGATGTTGGTTGCAAATGTTTTGTCCAATACTGTATATTTCAAAAAGATAATATTTATGTCTCAAGTGTATATATATGTACGCAACACACATTTACATTACCTAATAAAAAGTTAAGAATGCTGTTATAAGCATGAGTGCTTGACAGTGGGTTAAAATTGTTGGTTTAAAAATTCCTTGTTGATAATTTAAACCGCTGGCTATAACCCATGCATTTAAAAATATACGCAGGTCTGTCGTACCACTGGGTTACTAGGGACTTCGTTGTGATTGTTGTTGAAAAAATATAGTAATAAATTATAATTAAATTATGTTGTTGTAAGGAAACTTTTTTAGCTTATTGAAACTTATTGAGCATATCAAGAAACCTATTGAGCATATCGAGATGCTGTTAAGAATAGTCGTTAAAATGGATTGGGTCAACTAGAAATTTTTACAAACGAGAACAATTGGATCTCGTTTGTAAAAATTGTTTTTATAACAAAAGGCAAGACCAGATATATTTCAGAACGAGTGCATTTTATAAAATATTTATACAATTTTCTATATATGTATATATATATATATATATATATATATATATATATATATATATATATATATATATATATATATATATATAGATAAATTTTTCTGTTTGTAAATAATCTTTTTTTATTTAAATCAATGTTATCAGTTATATATCTAAAAACTTCCAAAACATTTCTGATATGCGTTTTATAAAATACGCGAAAGTTTAACAATAACGTATAAATACATGTTTATATTTGTCTGTGAAGCTTCGAAATTTATAATGGAACCGTTTTTTGATAAAACAGTTCGATTCAAATCTAAAAAAATGATTCAAGTTTTTCGAATATATATATTCTATGTATATATATATTCTATGTATATATATATAAATTCTATGTGTATATATATATATATATATATATATATATATATATATATATATACATATATATGTATGTATATATATATATATATATATATATATATATATATATATATATATATATATATATATATATATATATATGTATATATATATATATATATATATATATATATATATATATATATATATATATATATATATATATATATATATATATATATATATATATGTATATATACAGTTGTATATAAGTTTAATATAAGCTATAAGTTTAATGTTTTGAGCATGTATAATTGGTGCGCCACCTCCACTCTCAAAGTTAATTGAGAAAAATGCAAATTAATAATTGTGTTTTAATCACAAAAGTTATATACAGTATGGAATAAAATCAAAATTGTACATCTTTTTAACTTATGCTTATCCAATTTAAGTAGTTACATAAATTGGATGCTGGCAAACTTTCTGGTAAAAAAAAAAGTTAAAAATTCCCTAACATTCTGTGCGCTTGGAACATTTGCTCCAACTGCTCCAATGTAGCTACGCAACGGATATACACGCATACCGGCATTTTCTGACCACTTTAGATTTTCTTTCAAGGCTAACTTTTTTGTCAAAAATTGCTGATTTCTGTGACGTTGAGGGAGTGTCTAGTATAAATCCATCTTGCTGAATTTAGCTTAGACTACGTAAATTTTTTATTTTAAATCATTCGTTTTTTGTTTTAACTTTATGAGTTTTATTGCTGTATATTTTGCACCTAAAATCTCAATAAATTTGCAATATTTATGCATTTTATTGTTATATTGAGAACTCTTTACATATTTTATGAATTATAAAAATTACTTTAATTATAAATTTATTCTAGGGTGCGATTAGCTTCGTTATTAATTTTCTCTAGTCTGCCCCTACATTAGACCTGCACCTTAAAAAATATTATGGAAGGGGTTGCTTTTTAAAAATGAGACATTTTATGTCTTTTATAATCAAAGTATATGCACTCCAGCACCATGCGCACTTACAAGTAAAACTTTTATATTATTAAGGTATAATACTGAGGTTAAGTAAAAGCACTCACTCACTGACGTTTTGTACTATTCAAATCGCAGTCACTTACATCGTAATTTTTGTACCCATGTTGTTTCCGGATTAATGAACAATCAGGGCCATTTAAAGGACCTTTTGTTTAGACACCTTTTTTTCGATATGTACTTCATTTTTTTTTACAAAAGTGTAAGTATATACTAAAAAAAGTAAATATAAATATTTAAATAAAACTTTTGAGAAAATGTTATTCTTAGTATAGGGGAGGGGGCGCTTTTTTTGGGGAAGAGGGTTGTACCCTAACGCTTACCCTTCTCATTGAACCTGCGATCAATGTATACTTGCTATGTTCTATTATCCCTACAGATTAGTTAAACGGTTTAAAATTTACTAATGTTTTTATAAATCCAAGATGGCGGTAACTGTCATCTTGGATTTAAGCCAGTTCTGGCCATGCTACACTTTGCCACCATATCTTAAAATGAGAAGCATAATTAGAGTTATTGGTAAAAATTTCATGATTTTATCCACTTTTGCACAATTCCAGTCATTTTAATGCTAATCTGCTGCACTATAAGAAATAACAAAAATATTCTTAATTTTCGAATAATTTTCTAAATTGATAGTTTAAAATAATTTTAGATAAAAGCTTTCTGAATATGAATATAAATAGGCTTTTTTATATTCGTCTATTTTGTCTATAATCTGCTATTTTATACGATTTTGTCGTCTACGAAGAATCAGGTTTAGTTGTTATAGTTTTGGCTTCAGAATTAGAGGTCCGTGTTTCGAAGTCGGCATCTTTCAAATCTTTCTTTTCTATGGCTCATGTTAATTTTTTTGATGAAATGAATTAAGACTTTTTTATCATGATGTGCAACAACGGATGCAGTAGTACTAGTAGTACTACGATACAATACCGGGGCTATTTTAAAGGAGGAGGTCCCTTTCATGGGCCACGACAAAAATAAAGACTTTCTTGAAAAAGCCATTGCTGACTTTTTTTTATATATATACATGTTTATTTTACAACTACAAAGTATTTACAAGTACCCAATTACAGGTTGGCGGTAAAGATATACAAAGATAAATATCATAAACATAAAGTTTGAAATATACGAAGTAAATGTTGTTTTAAGTAAGAGTCGTATTGTAAAAAGAGTTCAATTTATTATAATTAATATGTTATATACAAATATGCAACAAACACAAGAAAGATATTGTAGATCACAGCTAGTAGTAGAACAGTTGCTCGAGTCCGTTGATGTTTGATAGGTTACTTCAAGAGAGCGAGACTTCGATAAGCACGCTATTTATATACATATTCCCAATGGGGACATTAATTGTTTAGTATAATTAGCCAATCCAAATAATTTACGTTTACGATAACTTGATTAGCGCAACAGTAAATAAAAATGTAGGTCCTTTCAATAAATTAAATGAGTTGATGCACTCACTGACAATGCACTGCCCTTTTAAGTTTAAAGAATATACAGTACAGTGGATATATAAAGCTAATTTACTCCACTCTCTTAAATGTGCTTGTAATCTAGATTGTTTACCAGACATATTGTTTGCATTATCGTATGCCTGTCCACAACAATTGCTTATATCAATATTATATTTTTCCAGTATATCTAAAATGTCAGTAATCAAGGATTTACCTTCGTGTCTTTTAATTTGTAGAAAACAAGAAAATTGCTCATGAAATATCAGGCGTAGAATCTACGATAATTCCCTAGTATTTTTTTTTTTTTTTTATTTCGCTTATAATGTGCGTTTAAATCTTTTGAGACATAATATTAATTAGCTCTTAATAAATTGTTTTAGACGGATCAAATTGAGTCAACAGTTCTTACACGCCTAAGTAATTTCCGTTATTTGACGATCCTATAACTTCATTATGGTCGCGAAATGCTAAACCTCTTCCGATTAAAAAATGAATAACTGCTACTATTTTATTTAAGATCGGAGCCCAATAATTAATGTCGCCTTTAATCTGACTTACCATATATTCATCGATATGAGTATTTTGTTTTTATGATTTCTATCGACTTAATCAAAAATTGAATATGTTCGTTGCTGTTTTCATGGCCAAAAATAGTTTGTTCAGCTTTTTTCTAATTGTAAAAACCACTTTTGCAAATAGATTATCGTAATCGGTTGAAAACAATTTGCAAAAATAATAAAATACACATCCTGTGGATTCAGAAAACATTAACTATTTTCGGTCACACATTTTGCCATTATTCATCATTTTTTCAAAAAATTTTACCAAAAAGTATCTTTACTGATTTTTGAAAATTTCGAAGATTCAAAATTAGAGCCTTTGTTTTGAAAAAAAGCATACCCTTGTTTAAATACTTCATACATTCATTTTCCTTTAACTGTAATAGCCATAAAGCAGGGTTTTCATGTAGAATGGTATCTAGGGGAAAAAAATCATGATAAACGTGTATTGAGTCTCATAATAGTGACAATTTATAGAAAAATAATATTAAATGCGTAAAAAGTAAATTGTTGTTTAGCAGTTAAAAGTGTCAATAAAGTTAGTGAAAGTCGAAGTCCCTGAGTCAAGTGCATTATTACGCAGGGAATCCATTTCTGACATCAAAATTAGGTTTTGACCACTCTGAACTGAGCTTGGGAACTAAAATACCCTAAAAAATTATTCCTGTTACCCCAAAAGTGAGGGCAATTTGTTAATGATTTATTTTTTGTTACAATTTCACAACTAAATTAGCAGGTTTTAAATTTCGCGGAGTAATTTTTCAGAGATAAAAAGTTATCACCATATAAAATGTACAACCTCCTGACTTTGGGGAGGGTTTAAAATTTATTTAGTCATATCTTTTAAAATCAAATTTTTTAAATTCAAGTTTTTTACAACTTCAAAAAACAACTATTTCTGCTTTCCTGTGCTTCTTCAGAAAGCATACCAATAGGTAAATCTATTACCGTAAAGTTTTATATCACATGAAAAATCGTAAAATTTATGTCCTAATAATGTAAAAAAACCTCTATAAAAATAAAAAAGGCTGTTCTTCTTAATAATTATAAAATTATAGGTAAAAATGTATAAATATTTTTAAATTCCATAAGGATAGATTATTTGAAAATGTCACAGATGTATTGCCAGTATTTACATGTTTTTCAAGCATATTTTAACAACTTTTTGACTTTGAAGCACCCTAAAAGGTTTTCGAAATTGAGCAAGTGCTTTATAAAAAGGTCAAAAATATTGACCTTTCGTTTTGACCTTTTTGCTAAACTCTGGCCCGCTGTACTTTGCAAAAAAGTACATTATGGATTTCGCCACGGCACAAAGACCCTTTTGTAAATTTTTTTTACGCCAAATTACCTTGCGCCGATACGTTTAAATGAGTGTTGACAATTTAAAGTAAAACATGCGAAATGGCAGGTGAAATCATTCCAGGCAAGGAAAATGAATTTCATGCATTAAATACATCTGAAATTGAAGGAGATATCCATGTAGCCGGAATTTCGATTGAAGAAGAAGATCAAAGCACTTTAGATGAACCCATAACTCAAACTTTAGTATTTTACATTTCTCTTTTGATATTCCACCGGATTTATAATATAAAATATATAGTCGCTAGTTTTCATAATTTTCACAAAAATTTAGTTTATTTACTCGAGTACAGAAACAAAACTCCTGTGGGTTAAAGATTAAAAAATTTTAGGTTCTATTTGGTTTGTATAAAAATATTTTAAAAAAATCCAATTAAAAAACATGAAGTTATTTTTTTTTTTAACTGAATACAACATTAATATGTAGTTAATAACTTATTATAGATAATATAAGCGCGATATAATTCACAATTTAAAAGGCTTAGGTAGTTTTTACAACAGTGCAGTACACTTCCTTGATTTGATAATTCATATAGAACTAATTCCAATTTGTGCAAATTATTTGGATGTGATTATTACAATAGGTATCTGCTATTCGTAATGCCAAAAGTCGAACTTTTTTTTATACATAGTTATGATATTATGTAATAAAGTATTGAGTAATCTTTGTTTTAAAATAATTTTATTGCATATTTTTTAAATTTTTTTTAAAAAAAAGCATCTATTTTTATTGCGTATTTATGCAAATATGACTGTTCTGTTTTTGTTTATTTTATAAATTATATATGTGTTCATACTTTTTTTTTCTTTTACAAAAATTGATCTATTCTAATTTTTAGAAAAAAAGAGTTAGCTAATAAGTTTAATCTTGATCTATGTATCTAGAAAAAAAAAAAAAAGGATGTAAACTTAAAATCACATGTGAGACCATAGAGAGAACCCATGACAAGGCAGCTTACTAATATCAAATTACTTTCTTTTCACCAGGATGAATTTCTTATTGAAAAGTCATATGCCAAAAACTTCTCGAAGTTAACAAAAAATTAAGATACGAATCAAATTTACCTAAAATAGTAAAATCATTTTACTAAAAAAGCTATAAAAAGTTCATACCAAGTAACTTTAAGAACTTAAGAGTTATCAGTTTATATGTTTTTCTGGGATAATAATTTATCTTTACATATTATTATATCTAAATCCATCCTGGTGGCCCACAATTAAGTTTTGGAATCCAAAAATTGCATTTGACAATATATTAAAGGTTTGTATCATAGTTAATAAAGTTCATAAACTTTTTTTTTTACTTAGAGAAGAGACTTGACAGCTATAGTTTCGAAGTTTCTTCATGTTATTGTTCCAAGACAAAAAAAGTCTTTGCTACGTGATTGTACGTTACCTTTTTTGTTACCTTTTAATCATTTTTTTTACATTTTATCATTGCTTACTTTATAGCTATTTTTTTGTTTTTAAATTTGAAACTATGAATCATAGATTTGATAAATTTCTTTACATTTTAATATTTATTTTACTTTGTCTTTTTTACATATCTGAAATTTGAGAGAAACTTTTATTTTTAATTTGCCATTTTGAAAATTTTCTTGTAAACAGTTTCACATACAAAAAAAAGTGTTTAAATTATTTAAAATTGTTCCAAATGATTTTGTTAACTCTAATTGTTTTTTTTATAAGCTCATAAGATTTTTTTATTATAATAGTTTTTAATAATAAGTTAGATTGATTGAGAGGATTGAAATTTGATCTAAAAATTTTGAGTTCAATTCTAGATCTAGTATGCAAGGTTAACCATAGTCCTGATTAGAAATCTTTGATCCAGTGTGCAAATTTTTTTAAACTTATGTTTATTATAGTTATGGAGTTCTTCCACTCCATAACTAGAATTTAGTTCACTGTAGAACAAAAATGTAAAATAAATAAAATAATTTAGAAGAAAAAAAAATTGCCTCTAAAACGTTCAGATATTTTAATTTTTATAATTTTTATGCCCTAATTTAATTTTCGATATGTAAAATTTTCAATCAATGGTATCAATTGTAAAATTCTTGGTCCATGAGTTCAAATCCAGTCAGGCAGAGTAAATAACTGACTAAAAAATCTGAACATACAAATGTAATTTGGTTCAAAAATAAAACAGAAAACTCTGTTACATTCTCAGAAAAATTGGTTTGGTTTCTCAGTGATTCAATATTAATTTCTTGGTAATTTGTTTCTTTACTCTCAAATCCTTAATACAAGGGATGGAGAGGGAGGGGGGGCGTTAATTAATTTTTAATTAAGGACTCAAGAGTACCTAAATAACAGATATTGGTATTTAAATTAAGTAAAGTTTTAATTAAGGTTTTTTTTATATTTACTCTTATTTTTTTAAATGATTTATCTTATTCTAATGAAACTAGAATTTTAAATATGTTATTTCATTTTAATGATACAGGAATTTAAATGAATTCTCTCATTCAAATAAAATAAAATTATTAAAAAATTTATTTTTTATAATTTTATTTTATTTGGATTTAAGTTTTTTTTATTTGAAAAATTGTTTTTAAATTCACTTTTGTAATTATTTAGGGGATTTGTGGGGTCCACTGATTTTATGTATTTTGTTAGCCACACTCCTGCAAGGTAGAGAGAGTGATGGTGCACCACAGTTTGCTCAAGTTTTTGCTGTTGTCTGGGTAGGTTCTGGAGTGGTCACTTTGAATTCAAAACTTTTAGGTGGCACCATGTAAGTTTCAAATTCTTTTTAGATTAAAAAAATATTTCTTGATTTAATATAAAGTTGTATAAAAGTAATTTTTGCTCTTTTATTTAGTTCATTTTTTCAAAGTGTTTGTGTTCTTGGTTATTGTGTTCTTCCGCTTGTGGCAGCACTTATAGTCTGTAAGATACTACTTCTTGCAAAAAGCACAACATTGTTATTTACCATTAGGTGTCTGGTTGTTATGGTGACAATGATATGGTCATGTTTTGGTAATTATTTAATTTATATGTTTTGCAAGTTACAGGTCTGTAAAAGCAATATTTTGTGTTATTCTGAATATGTCTGCTGCAATTTTTTCATAAACAATAATTAAAAAATATGTTTGTTTATGAATTAAATATAAAAACTAGGCTATAGAAGTATAAAAATTATGTTATTGCAAAAAAGAGGGAAACATGCAATGCAATGTTTTTACCTCATGTGCATCTTTTTCTAATTCGATATTTGAAAAGTTTATTTTTTCAGACATAAAAAAATAACAATATTTGCTGAAGATTTTATTTTTACAAGACATAAAAACTATTTCTCTACAACTAACATGTAAATAAAAAGTCCATTTTTTGTTACTTTTTTTTTGTAATATAGTTTTATCAAAAGAATTTAAAAACATACCAAAAATTCTTCTAAAATATATAAGTGCCCAAACTTAGTTAGTTTGACAATTTCCTAGAAAAGGTTGCATAAAATTGCTTACGCTAACTAAGGTTGCATAAAATTGCTTACGCTAAGTAAAGTTGCATAAAATTGCTTACGCTAAGGTTGCATAAAATTGCTTATGCTAACTAGTTTAGCAACATTTAAAACATTTTTAAATGTTTTAATTAGGTCTAAAAAAAAGATACACAGAAATAGGTTAAAAAGCAAAAGCAAAGTAGCAAATAATAAGTATGAAGGATGGCTTCATGATAAGTAACAGAGAAAAATCAAGAATACACAAAATATTAGAAAATTGCATCAGAAATACTCTGAAAACATTTAAAGTGACATTTGGCATTCAGTCTCGTGAAGGATCCAGAAGGTTAAAAAAAACTACTGAGCAAAGATTTTGTCAAGTCAAAAAAAACAAAAGTATTTTGTTAAAGAGCAAAACTGTGAAAGAATCTTTCTGAAAATGATTTTTTTCAAAATTTAATTTTAAAATATTTTTTAATGATAGACAATGCCTATTATGAGTAGTTGGAAGGAAAGTGGGGGGTGTTAACTACATAAAAAATTAAAAATTACATAATTTTATAGAAAAAAAATTATAATAAAAGTCTATACAATGTATAGAATGTATATTTTTTCTTTTTATATTTTCTCTGGATCTATAAATATACATAGCCCATTATGATCATATATAAGAAATTACATACATAAAAATGTGCATATAACTCTTGCAAAAAAATTTTTGAAATTTTAATAACTAATTTTTCTTCAGGTTTTTGCTTTATTATTTAAAAATTAGATATTTATGAGAAAAATACAAAATCTAAAGTTAACACTTTGTTAAGGATTTTTTTATTTTTATTTAAAGTATATAACCAAAATATGTTTAGGACACTAATATACTATATATATATATATATATATATATATATATATATATATATATATATATATATATATATATATATATATATATATATATATATATATATATATATATATATATATATATATATATATATATATATATATATATATATATACAAATATATGTCTTGCTTATGATGTTTATCCAATATTTGCTATACTATTTTATCTCATTTTTTAGCAGTGTATTTTAAGTATTTAAAAGGATTTAAAAGTTGAATACTATAGCTACAGACCAATGTTATTATTATTATAAACAAGCAAAAAAAGATTGATTATTAGAATGAATAGACTAAATTTTTACTAAACAAGGATGAGGATCGACTTCAGCTTTAAATCTTTTTTCCTCGTTGTCTATGAGCTTTAAAAATGTCAGATGACTTATAATCTACAAAAAAAGTTGATGAGATTTAATGTTTTGGAATCTATTGTTTTTTAGCCTGGAGTCCTGGAATCCTTGCTGCCATTATATAAGAACTCCAAGTTTAAAAATTGATTGTTCCTCTAACCTTAAAGATTCTTTACATTTTAGGAACTCCTGGATACCAAAAACCAAAAAAAAAATCCTTTTGTAGCTTTCAAATCGTAATCCTTTTTTGAACTCCACACCTCTATTGCTAAGTAAAAATCTTTTTTTTTATCTAAATATCTAAAGTATCATATAAAATTTATAAATATAGTATAATAATATAATTACAATTTATAAATATAGTATAATATATAACTACAATATAATTATCATTAAGATTTTTTACATTCTTTATGAATTTTTCACATTTACTAGCATTATTATTAGTAAATTTCTTGACAAAAGTTTTAAATGATTTGTTTAAATAAAAATGCACTTAAGTGCAAAAATATTAGAGATTAATCTACTTTTCAATGTTTTCTTGCAATTCAATTATTGTTGACTTGTTCAGGGTCAAAAAAAAAAAAGTTTTTTAAATTGTATAAGTAGTTCACAACTTGAACTAATATTCGAACTAGATTTACTGAATTTAATATTTTAAGGTATTGTAAAATTATTCTTGTATTTATTATTATTGTATAAGGTCTTGTAAAATTATTCTTTTTGTATTTGATTTTTTTCAAAATAATGTACCTAATTTGTTTATTAATTTCTTTAATAAAAAAAGTGATATATATAAATATTGCACCTTAAATATAGGAAATTGGAAATTGTATCCTTTTTTTTTTAATACAATAAAATATGACAAACTCTGTGTCAATGTATTTGTTAGTGTAACCAATCAAATTTATCAAAGATTTTGAACTTAATTTTTAAGTTAAAATCTTTGATAAATCACATTTGTTACAAAGTATACTTATTTGACATAAGTATAAACATATGTTTAGAATTGTCTAGAATTTAACTTTGGGATCGATCGTTCATAAACTATATAACGTTAAATTTTACTAAAAAAAACAAAGAAGATCAAAGGTTTTCCCTCGCAGAGCCTTAAGTTAAATAAAAAATCAAAGTAGCACATAAAGTTTAAAGAAAATCGCCGCGTAAAAGTGCTTAAGGTCTTTTACTTCTGTTTTTTAAATAAATTTAGCGTTACGTAATTTATTGACGATCGTAGAGATCAAAAAATATTGCATCCGTCCCTGTATTATAATTTTAATGTTAATTATATTGTTGTTGTTATATATCTTATTTTTTTTCGTTTTATATATTGTTATTATTATTATCATTATTTGTGATATAATTATATTTATTTTTTTTAATATGATTTTTAAAAATCTTTTTTATTTAGTTGTCACTCCATAGGCTAGTTTTTAACTATGATTAACAATGTTATTTTTGTGATAACAGTTCATAAAATAAACTTTTATTTAGCTTCTCTGGCGTTTCTTGGCGACAGCCAACCACATAATCGCAAGCCCCTAGCAGTTTATCCAATTTGTTTGTTTTATTTTGTTATCAGCTGGCTGGTCTTATCGCACTCTGGATGACTGTTATAAGTTTTGCTTTACATACACAAGATTATTAAAGTAGCGGACATTGCAAGATTGTTCAACGCTCGTGAGAATAAGATGACCTGGTTTTTATGAGAATTTTCTTAAATAGAATCAAAAGGTTCTTACTGAAATGATTAAACATTTATTTATTTTTTTGTAAATATATATTTCATGTATAATTTTAAATACCGGTAAAATAAGCCCTTAGTAATTCTTGGTCGCAATTTATACCTTTGGATTTCTTCCTAAAAACAAATATTTTTTTTCTACTAACGCCAGGGGTCGATGTTAGAATTCTTTATAAAAATTGTGTAGCTCACCGGACCGACTCATATTAACATATAAACTCACAAAAATATTAGTCACGTTTTTGTTTTAGATTAATAGCATTAAAAAAAAAAAGTTTTAACCTTTTTTTTGTTTTTTTCACTACCTTAGTTATAATATTTTACTTTTGCGAATCTTGAAATACTGGTATTGATTATCTTACCTCAATTGATTTGTATTCGAAAGCGCTTTAAACGTCAATACTGATTGTATTGTTCGGGTTATATTAAGTGATGAATCTACATTCAAGGTTTTGGTAAAACAAAGCTAGGTTCGTGCATCACAGACTAAGACAATCCAAGCCCAAATCCATTGTGAACATTGTGAAGTACCTAACATCCATATTTGTTTGGTAGGAGTACCACTTGGCTTTACATTGTTTAAAAACAGTGAAACAAGATCAATACAAGGCTGTTCGCAAACCAGATGTGTTACACAACTATGAGTGTGATTTCCCGGGCCATCGAGAAGTTTTATGACGCCCGGGGCATAGCATTGATCATGTTTCATGATCAATGCGAGTTATCCGCTCATCATGGGTCGATGTTTTATTTGAAGCTAAAGCAGCAGTGATTTCCAATGCTCATTTTGCAATTAGTTTTATAGCGGCAGTCTGAGCTAAACGTCTGGTGTACGAGTACTTGCAAGGCTTCTATCTAGCGAGACTGCAGCAGACAAGATTGCCACCAAATCAGGGAATTCAGGGAAATTTAGATACAATCAGGGATCTAAATTTGTTAAACATAAACCCTAAATTTGTTAAACATTAACCCTTAAATTGTTAAAATGTTAAACATTAACCCTGGTACCCTTTTCAAGGGTACCAGGGTTAATGTTTAACATTTTAACAATTTAAGGTACCAGGGTTAATGTTTAACATTTAACAAGAAAATTAGAAATGGTTAAGTGATCCTTTTTTTAAAAAAATGGCTGGTAATAGGCAGTGTAAAAAACTTCAAACAGTAGATTAATGTGATAAAAGTTGTACAGAAATCTACTCTGTTTTAAATGCAATACAGAATAATTTCTCATTAAACTCATATAATGAAAACTGCCTACTTTACCAGAAAATGTTCCCTGATAGCAATATTGCTAATTCTTATGAAATGAGTGAAACAAAGCTTGGTTATATAATTAATTTTGGTAATGGCCCTTATTTTTACAGACTTTTAACTGAAAATACGAAAAAATCTCCTTATTATAATCTTTCACTTGATGAGAGCCTCAACGATTCTTTTAAAAAGGGCCAATCGGATCTAAATATTTAGTTTTGGAGCAGCAATTTAAATCATGTTGAACCCAGATACTTTGACTCTAAATTTTAAGGTCACCCCACAGCTAAGAATTTACTTAAAATTATGACTCAACTTGCGAACTGATGCCTTCTTAATCTTCTTGAAATACAGCATGATCAACAAGAGCTACCTAAACTTCTAAACGTTGGAAGCTGTAACCTTCATCTAATACATGGTTTCAAATCAGGTTTTCAATCTGCTGAATGGAATATAAAGAAGTTAATGAAAGCATCATACAACCTTTTTTATGATTTTTCGGCTAAAAGAGCTGATTATGTAACAGTTACTGAAAGTGACAATTTTCTTTATACATTTTGCTCAAAACATTGGGTTGTAGACCAAAAAGTTGTAGATAGACTTTGTTTAATTTGGGAGAATGTTAAAAAAACTAACCAAGTATTGAGAGACTCTTTAAAATTAAGCAACCAAAATGAAAGAGCTATGACAAGTGTTCGGGACAGAGTTGTTAACAAGGCCAAAAGTATCAAGACCAAGGCCATGCGTTACAAGTCCAAGATCAAGGCCAAAGGTTACAAGGCCAAAGGTTACAAGGCCAAAGGTTACAAGGCCAAAGGTTACAAGGCCAAGGAAAAACCCAAGGCCAAGAGTTTAAGGCCAAGGCCAAGATTAAGAGTTTTAAGGCCAACGTCTACGCAAACATTTTCAAGACCAAATACTTTAACTTTTGCCTTGCGTTGAGGCCAATTATTAACACAACTGTAAGTAGCAAGTGGTGTGACAATAAAACCACATTTTGTAAAAATAGACCAATGTTATGGGCAGAATTAAGCGAAATCAATAAGAAAATTGGTTTTTCTAAAGGCCAAAGCCAAAATTTTCAAGGTCAAGACCAAGGCCAATAGTTTCAAAGACAAGACCATATTTGAAAGATGTTTGAATCGTTTTGATATTTATTTTTACATTATATTATGGGCAAGCATCAATTGAAAGAGGTTTCAGTAATACCAGTAATATGCTCAGTGAAAAAATGAAAGGAATGTCACTTATATCTCTATCAAAAATTTTCTTGAAAATGGTTTTGATTATTTAATTTAATTTTCAAGCAAATTGATTGGTTCATTACTCATTGGGGGATTTTAGTATCTGGTTTTTAGAGGTAAAAATGCTCTGGGATTATTGGAGAAGTTTTAATGTTAAGTTTGGGTATCTGAATGCTGGAAATATCAGGGGAAAATTAGCAAAATTCAATGGGAAAAATCTGGAAAAATCAGGGAGAAAAAAGCAAAATTTTGGCAAAAAAATTAGGGAAAATCAGGGAATTTTGTTCCTAAATAATGGTGGCAACCCTGAGCAGAAGAATAAAAAATAACAAGAATAAAAAATGACATACATTTATTCTTTTATTTATGTGTTACAATAATCAATAAAATGTATACATAAAAAGTGTATTATTGATAGAAAGACATTAACACAAGGTTGTCCTTTTGACGAGCTGACTATTGGCATTGCTGCAGTCGAAATAGCATCATAAACATAACTTTTTAAAAGAGTTTACTGTAGGTGCATCAACTTTATCCTGCGCTAATTTATTCTAACAGTTTGTAAAGTGCCGACGTACTGAATAACCTTTAATTTGTTGAGGTTTTAAAAAGCCATTTTTCTTACATTGGATGCTGAGTTTGATAAAAAAGGCTGTACAAGGTATCTGCCAAATCTGCCAAAAAATATCTGGCTGGGAATTTAGATGTCTGAAAAAAAAAGTAAATAACTTTTTCAAAGTTGTATATCATCAGCATTAAAATTTTACTTGGCAGATTATTTCTCTTGATACATTCAATGTATATTTATATAATGTATATACATTCGATACATGTATATTGTATTAATGCTTATAATTTTACAAGTGAAAAGCGTTTTTCTAAAAGTCTATTTTTTTTAGTTTAAGTAACTTTGAAGTTGAGTTAAGTAACTTTAAATTAAATTAATAAAAATAATTTGAGGATCAGGGGAAAATTAGAGAAATTCATCTTATAATATTGGCAGATACCCTGCTATACTTGTAAAATACAAAACTAAATTTGTTTTAAACGGTAGTCATTTTGTATTGCAGTATGAATTCACTACAATCTCTTACTTTGTTTTAGTATGATGTCAATACAAATTCTAGTATTTTGATTGTAACTAAAATGATATTTACTCGTTGGTAAGATAATCTATCCAAACCAAGATAGGTTTGGTAAGATCCATGATAAAACTTTCAAGAGTTTTTGGATTCTATAGATAGATAAAGTTATTTTTATCTCTTATTTTTTAGAACTTTGAATTTTTATCATTTACACAAGAACTGAAAATATTTATGTTAATAAGTATAATGTTCATAAATATAACATACATAACTATCTGGTTATATTTTATATGATAATATAATATTTTATTGATATTGATATATATTTTATTGGTATTGATTGTCAATTGAAACTGAAATTAACGGAGCAAGATGATAAGATAATCTTCTTCTGCTTGCTCCAATTATATCTTTTACATAAAAATTTTGTAAAAAAAATAAATTATAATGATGAAGAAAAGGAAAAAATGAGGAAAAATTAATTAAATATGTAAAAATGAAATCAAGAAAAAAAACAAATTATTGAACATCTTATCGTTGGAATTCCGTCAAATCAAGTTGCCAAAGCTCTGGGTGTACATAGAGAAACAGTTTTTCGTGTTTAAGTTTGTTTTTCAAACAATTTTTTATAAATTTTGTATTGATTATCGCGGACCATATTTATGAAATAAAATAGTTTTAAAAATTTTTACTGAGTATTTAATTCATCAAAGTAAGTACTTTTTTTTTCTGTGTGTGTATCACGAAGTATTAAATGTTTTGCATTTTGTACAAAAAAAAAAAAAAAAATTGAAAGTTAAGTTTGAGTCTAATAGCATAATAATAACAAGAGGCTGTATTGTATTTACTAAAATTTTATAAATTGGTGATCATACTCTAGGCCGGCGCGATAGGGGTGTGTTTATGTGATGGGGGGGGGGTGACACCCCCCGAGGACTTTTTTTTTTTATATTCGGCAAAAATTGTAAGGACGAATAATTTTACATCATCTAGTTTAATACATCCACCTCATTTAATACATCTTAGTTACATTATACATCTACAATTTAGTTATTCATAATCATAACTATCAATAAGTTTCATTGTTATTTATTTTAATTCTCTAAGGGATCTACTGCTTGGTGCACCAAGAAATGGGTGCCTTAGAGAAGTAGTATGAATTGCAAAATGAATAGCAAAATAGGCTAGCAGAGTAAGATAAAAGTATAATTGGAAAAATATCAAGAGGATGGAAGTCGTTTATAATAATAATAAAATATAGTAAATGTTAAAAGAATAATAAAAAATTCTTAAAGTTTTTAGTTTTTTCATTTTATTTCTTTAAGGCATCCATTGCTTGATGCAGCTCCATTAAAATTTATTGCATTTCAAAAAAAAAAAAAAAAAAGTGCTTTCGAGCCGTATAGGCGTGTTGTTTTCAAGCCGTCGACATTTGTCATCATCTACGGGAATTTCGGTTAAAAAAGAATAGCGTTTGCGTTTTTTATCTGCTGTAAATTACAAACGAAAATGCAAAAAACGTATTCAGCTGCCCAAGTTTTCCTTAAAAGTTCATCAAATGTGAGTTGAAATCATTTCTGTTTAAATTTATTTTCAAATTATATAGCCAAATTTTATAGCAAACAATGTTAGAGTTACCAAGAAAAAAGTATTTTTTATGACCGTATCAATTTAAGATAGTCAAAACTGCCAATGATGTTTATGTTCTAAAATGTGTTAGACTCTGTGGTTTAAATTTTCATTTTTTAGATTTTTTCCATCAAAATTATTTTCTTGATGCCAAAACGACTAATTCGGATTATTAGAAGTTTTTTATCAGAGCTAGTGGACGATTAATTAAACCCATAAAATTCTAACATTTTGTTTAGTAATTTTTTATTTTCCTCTGTGTTAGCCCTGTACTGCAGTATAATATTTTTTAAGCGTAATAGTTTCAAACCTTCCATGGTATATTTTTTTGTTCTTGACTTAAAAAATTAATTATTTATTTATAAAAAAGTTCAAACTACTAGTAGTAGTTTGTAGGTGTAGTAGTACTACACCTTTTTTTGTTTATCTTGCATATATTTATAAACTAGTATTTAGTTTTTATGTTAAAATTTAAGACAATTAAGATTACTTTTATGATTATTATCATGATAGACAATTAATTTCAATAATCTCATTCTTTATTTATTACAAAATAAATTTAAATTAAAAAAGTACCAAAATAATTTATTTTAGAAATCGGCATTAAAAACAGCATTAAAAAGTACAACTGTTCTTGGAAAAAACTATGCAACATCAACTCAAGGTAATAATTTACTTTTTTTATATTGTTTTTTATGCTTTACTGACCTGAACTTCTAATATTCTATTTATCTTCGAATATTCTACAATGAATTTTCGGTTCTTAGTTTAAATGGCATAAGAGTAATTCCATTGAGATGAATGTAAAAGTCAGATAATTATTATTTTAAAAATAGACTTAATAAACTTTTACCTTTAAAGTATTCAAAAAAACTTATTTATAATATAAATGCAAATTTAATAGTCAAACAGATTTATTGTAATAGATATATTTGTGTGGTCTTAATAAAAATAAAGATGATTTCTTTGGTCTTACATCTATACTACTATATCTCAAAAACCTACCACTTTGGTGCAATAAAGTGCACAAAAGTCTGGGATCATTGTCATAATTTATTTGTAACTATTCTACAACAGACGAGCTTAAACCTTTTCTATCTAATACAATTTTTTTTATTTTCACTCTTGTTATTGTAAGTAGCATTTTAAAAATATTTTTATTTGTGGGATGAGTGTCAGTTAAAATAATAAACTTGATAAATAATAATTTTTAATATTATACAGTTTTAAAGTATGTGTTATTTGTTGTATCATAGAATCTAGCACTGTAGTGTTTAGCCATTTTTTCAAACTGAATTTTAATTTTATTAGTGCATGTATTTATATAAGGAAAGTTCTGGGAAAACTATAAATTCTACTTTATAGAAGTTTTCACTCAAATAAGTTTGACTTATTTTATGTTTTATTTATAAAATCTGTATAACATTTTCTATGTGTGACCATTGATATTCTAGTTTTTATTTAAGGGTTTTTATTTACTGGTTAATCTTATTATAGACTTATTTATAAACTAAATACTTAAAATTGAATATAGAGCTTAGCTTAAACACTAGGACATTCAACACTATTGCCTGCACTTTTTTTTAAACTATTTTTAAGTTTGTCATCATTTAAAAAATTCTAAAAGTTACTTAGTTGAGTTTTTGAATAAAAAATCCTTTTTTTAAGCTGATGCTGATCTTGTTGTTATTGGGTCTGGACCTGGAGGTTATGTTGCTGCCATAAAAGCTGCACAATTAGGTTTAAAGGTATCTTTTAATTTTTTTGCTTCTTAATTTTTTCTTTTTTAAATTTTTCTTTTTTTTTTAAAAGTTTTACTTTTTAATTAAATTTATAAAGTATTTTATATTTATAAAAATAATTTTTATAAAGCATTTGAAATGCTTTAAAAGGAAAAGCTAGCTGTAATTTAGAATCTTGTAGCAAGAGAATGTACCAAAAAGAGCTAACTATTTTAAAGGGTATTCAAAACAGTTTTGGTTCTTCTCAAATAAATTTTTTCGATAATGACTGATTCTTTTAGTTTTTAATTTAAATTATATATATATATATATATATATATATATATATATATATATATATATATATATATATATACACAACCTTCAAAATTAGGAAAAATGATGTCGGAAATAATTTGCTGACCTCAATCTTTTTAAGGTTGGCATCAGGTTGGCAAAAATTATTTGATACAAAGGTCTGACCATAAAATACAGAAACAAGGTCAGCAATAAATGATAGACTGCCTGCCCAAATTAAACCCTCAGTCGATGTAGCAGCACTTCCTTGCGAGTCAGGCTGTTTGTAAGTCGATGTAGCAGCACTCCCTTGCAAGTCAGGCTATTTGTCAGTCGATGTAGCAGCACTCCGTTGCGAGTCAGGCTATAAGATAGTCGATGTAGCAACACTCCCTTGTAGCAGCAGGCTATAAGATAGTCAATGTAGCAACACGCATGTTTTAAAAATGTTTTTTAATAAAACAAAAACAACACAAATTTAAAAAAATTTTCTTATCATTATTATTGCGGTTTTTTTAAAAAACAATAAAATTTAATGTACTTCCACATTAATTTAATTGCTTTGACATTTCGACGACAATAAAAAGCAGCTTAAGAGACGAGGTAAAAAAATTGTAGTCGAAAGAGACTTTTTTTTACCATAAAAGTCTCTTTCGACTACACTATAAGGATATATATATATATATATATATATATATATATATATATATATATATATATATATATATATATATATATATATATATATATATATATATATATATATATATATATATATATATATATATATATATTGTAGGAATTATATTAATATTTCCAGTAAGAGTGCTCAATACAGCGTTTTATATAATTAGTAGAGCAAATAATATAGTGAAAACTAAATAATTATTAAGATATATTTCAATTACATAACTAAAAGTTTCACGCAATAGCGATCATCAGATGTAACAACAATAAAAAGTAACGACAAAAATTATATACAAAAAATGCTATGGAGTGTCCGCTTTGATGACATTAAAGTTTTTTATTAGAAATTTATTTTCATGGCGGCATTTTGACGCAAGCTCGGTTCTTTTGTTAAGCAAATTCAATGGCAACGTAATAATGTGGTATTTTTCTGTCAAGCATAAATTGCAAAATTTACCACCAGGTTTGAATGGCTCGGCTTGATCGAGGATATTCCATTTTAAAATAGGTTCTATACCTTTATTTTTGCATTCCCACACAAATTTCGAAAGTTCAGTGGAGTTGGCCTTACTTTCATAAACAAAGGAGTTTTTATGTTTGTACCACCTGTCTTTGAAAGTTTTCTCAGTAAGCCCAACGTAATAATATCCTTCTTCTTCTTGGTGAGTTTTTGCGTTGCAAATATAAATAAGATTTTTTGTAAGGCATTTTCCATTGAGTGGGCATAAGGTGGTTTGCCGACAATTGCATAATTGATTGGCATTTTCATGAGAATGAAGTAATATCTTTTTATTATGAGAAGTAACAATACTCTTGATATTTGGAAGGCAGCTATAACTAACCTTTAAGTTGTTTCAATTAAAAAGTTTGTGAAATTTGTGGCCTTTAGGGAAACATTTATCAATTGTACTCAAAAATGTTTTGGCTACGTTTGTTCTGACGTTGAGTGAATAAGGTGGGTTAAACCAGATAATGTTCCTTTTTCGAGATTTTTTATTATATTTCTGGATATTTGGAGTGAAATTGATCTTATCTTTGAATCCACAAGAATTGAGGGCATTATTATAAAATGGTGCGGCTTTATCAAAAGCTTCTTTGCTTGAAGATATGTTACTGATGCGGTTAGAGATCATTTTTGGTATCGATTTAATAATGCTTGGTGGGTGGTTTGAATTGATGTTAATATATAAAGGATTATCTCCTGGTTTTCTATAAGGTTTAAAAGAGTTCTCAGAAAGGTTGAATGTGATATCAAGAAAATTTACGGTTTTTAAATTTGGTTTGATAGTGATGTTAAAATTAAAATTGCCTTTAAAAATTTTTATTAGATTTTTCTTTATTTTTTCCGATTGAGGACCACTGATATTATAGAAGAAGCATTACGTCGCCATTGAATTTGCTTAACAAAAGAACCGAGCTTGCGTCAAAATGCCGCCATGAAAATAAATTTCTAATAAAAAACTTTAATGTCATCAAAGCGGACACTCTAGCATTTTTTGTATATAATTTTTGTCGTTACTTTTTATTGTTGTTACATCTGATGATCGCTATTGCGTGAAACTTTTAGTTATGTAATTGAAATATATCTTAATAATTATTTAGTTTTCACTATATATATATATATATATATATATATATATATATATATATATATATATATATATATATATATATATATATATATATATATATATATATATATATATATATATATATATATATATATATATAGAGAGAGAGAGAGAGAGAGAGAGAGAGAGAGAGAGAGAGAGAGATATATAGATAGATACATATATAGTGTACATACATAAAAATTATAATAAATATATTTAAATTGTTTCTTTTATATATGCTATAGACATATTGCGTTGAAAAAAATCCTACACTCGGAGGAACCTGTCTAAATGTAGGTTGCATTCCTTCCAAATCATTACTCAACAATTCCCATTACTACCATGTTGCCAAAAAAGAATTTGCTGATCGTGGAATAAAATGTGACAAAGTTGAACTAGATCTTACTAAAATGATGAAAGCTAAATCTGACTCTGTCACTGGTCTTACTAATGGAATTGCAACTCTTTTTAAAGCAAACAAAGTTAACCGAGTGGATGGATTCGGTTCTATCAGTGGACCTAACCAGGTGATATTTTTAATTTAATAAGCATATTTTTAGATTCTGAAATTAGTTTTTCTTTTTTTGTAAAGTTTATACAGAAAAATTTTTTATGTTAAGTTTATTTAAAAACTTCTAAATATTTTAAGTATCAAAAAATTAATAATTTCATGTTAGGTAACTGTTTCTAAGTCTGATGGTAGTAAGGAAGTTATAACCACAAAAAATATTATGATTGCTACTGGTTCAGAAGTCACTCCATTTCCTGGTATTGAGGTAAGTTTATTTTCTTATAACTATAACATTTTTATTTTAATAATTGTATTTTTCGATAAATGTAATTGTTTTTATATAGATTGATGAAAAGACAATTGTATCATCTACTGGTGCACTTTCTTTGAAAGAAGTTCCTAAACGCATGGTAGTAATTGGTGCTGGTGTCATTGGTGTAGAGCTTGGTTCTGTATGGCAGAGATTAGGTTCAAAAGTAACTGCTGTTGAGTTTCTTGATCATATTGGAGGCATGGGTATTGATCTTGAAGTCTCAAAACAGTTTCAGAAAAGTTTAACTAAGCAAGGGATGGAGTTTAAACTTGGCCACAAGGTTACTGGAGCAGCTAAGCAACCTGATGGTAGTCTTAAAGTAACTGTAGTAAATAACAAAACTGAAAAAAAAGAAGTTATTGAATGTGATGTTCTTTTGGTTTGTGTTGGGAGAAGACCATTTACCAATGGAATAGGCCTTGAGCAGTTAGGAATTAAAAGAGATGAAAAAAATAGAATTATTGTTAATAGCAGATTTCAAACCGGAATTCCTTCGTATGTTTAATTTATCTTTTTTTTTTAAGTTTTATTTAATTTGATGTTTTTATTGTGATGTGTTGGCTTGAAAATTTTACATAAAATAGATTAATAAGTTAATTTTAGTTCTTTTATTTTTATGTGTATATATTAGGGTGTCCCAGCCGCCCCTTATATTCTAAAAAAGATCTGTTCATATTTGTAAAACTTTCTATCGGTTCTCACAAGCAACTCAGTTAAATTTTTTCAAAATTTTATTAGATTTAGGGGAGCACAAGACCCTTGAACACTTACTGGGTCCCTAATATTATTAAAAAAAAAGTTTTTTTAAAAGTGTTGGGTCTCAAAAGAAGCAGAATTATATAAAAATTTCAAAAATAATTCTTAGCTTTTTTGACCTAATACGTTTAAGAATATAAGTTATGTTTACAAATATCTTATTGGGAACTGAACAAATCCATCTATAAATTGTTTATAATCTTTATTAAAAATACTACATTAAATATATTAAAATTAAAATAAATAAGTATTATAAAAAGTGATTGTTTTAAGAAATAAGTTGTAAGGTAATATAATCTTTTTTAAATACTGAATTTAAATTCAATTAATAATTTTTGTTAAATTAGTTTAAAAAGTTTTTAGGGAGGTTTATAATTAATTTTAATTACTGCGCGATACTTTACAACACACAAATAATCACAACACCTTAAAATCAAAGATTTAGTATTTGTAAATTGCTTTTTTATATTTGTCAATGATTTGTTTATGTAAAAAAGAACACATAATTTTTTGATAAATAAGTGCTCAATTCAAGAGAAAAATATAATGGTGTATAAATTGGCATGCTTCTGACTTAAAACCCTCTCCTGCCTTGGGGCACTTGTGACACTTTTAATGTGTCACAAGTGCCCTAAGCATAAAACGAAAACTTTTTATTGAGATACTATCTCAATAAAAAGTGTAACTTGTGGGACATTTTTTGAATTGAGGTATCTCAATAAAAAATACTCATTTTGGGCAGTTAGTTAACTGTACTCTAGTTACTGTTTTGTAAATATATGTAATATATATATATATATATATATATATATATATATATATATATATATATATATATATATATATATATATATATATATATATATATATATATATATATATATGTAAATATATATATATATATATATATATATATATGTATATATATATATATATGTATATATATATATATGTTTTGTAAATATATATGTATATATATATATGTATATATATATATATATGTTTTGTAAATATATATATATATATATATATATATATATATATATATATATATATTTATATATATATATTATATATATATATATATTTACAAAACAGTAACTAGAGTGCAGTTAACTAACTGCCCAAAATGAGTATTTTTTATTGAGATACCTCAATTCAAAAATTGTCCCACAAGTTACACTTTTTATTGAGATAGTATCTCAATAAAAAGTTTTTGTTTTATGCTTAGGGCACTTGTGACACATTAAAAGTGTCACAAGTGCCGCAAGGCAGGAGAGGGTTTTAAGTCAGAATTAACTTCTTGACCTGAAATATTTAGGGTTTTGTATGTAAGTATGTATGTACATACTTATATACAAAATATGTATGTACATATATACATACATGCATACATACATACATACATACATACATACATACATACATACATACATACATACATACATACATACATACATACATATATACATAAACATATGTATATATGTATGTATGTATGTAAGTATGTATGTATGTATGTATGTATGTATGTATGTAAATATGTGTATACATTAATTTTTTGTATGAGCGTATGTGTTTATGTATTAATGTATGAAAATATGCATTCAAATTTACTTTTCTAGTATATATGCTATTGGTGATGTAATACATGGTCCTATGCTTGCACACAAGGCAGAAGATGAAGGTTATAAAATTATAAATGAGATTAATTGTAACCTTTATTTTATGTTATTAATATTTTCTATTTTTATTTTAAAGTCAAATATTTAAGCTTGTGACATTTTTAATGCTTTTTTAAAGGTATTTTTGCAGTAGAAGGTATATGTGGCAGTGCAGTCCATATTGACTACAACTGTGTACCATCTGTCATATACACTCACCCTGTAAGATTAATTAGTTAATGTTTGTGCAGTAAATGTAAGGTTTTTTTTGTTTGTTTATTATTATTGTTTTTATTAGTTTGTTTATTTGTTGTTTTTAATTGATTTAAGCATTTTATAATTTTTATTTTTATTTAATTTGGTTTAGGAAGTTGGTTGGGTTGGTAAAAGTGAGGAGCAGCTAAAGCAAGAAGTAGTTTTATTTTACTATAATCTTAAAAATAAAAATATCAAAAGGTTGTTTAATTTAAATATTATATAATAAAATATCAAAAGGTAATTTCAATATATTTTAGGGCATACCATATAAAATTGGAAAATTTCCTATGATGGCAAACAGTCGTGCAAAAACAAATAATGATACAGATGGGTTTGTTAAAGTTCTTAGTCATAAAGAAACAGATCGGTTATTAGGTGTTTACATAGTTGCTAGCTGCGCCGGTGAATTGATTAATGAAGCAGCACTTGCTATGGAGTATGGTGCAGCAGCAGAAGATGTTGCTAGAGTCTGCCATGCTCACCCAGTAAGTTTTATTATTTGTATTTTGAGTGTATACTTTAAAAATTTGTATTATTGTTTTTACTAATTTTACTATTAATTTCCAAATCATTTTAACTTTACCTGTAACATCCTCTCATTAATAAATAACAAAATATAATGTAAGACCATTTATAGTTATTTTTTTACCTTTTTATTTATTTGGTAGCACATAAAAAGTAACAGTGTACTTAGTACCGAACCCTGATAGAACTGATAGAACCAATTAGATAGTTTTTACTTTATATATATATACATATGTATATAGGGGCTATTCTAGAAAAATAATTTTGGCAGCAGTCCCCTACCCTCCCTCATGCCAGCACCTACCGCAAGGAAATTTAGCAGAAACATTGCCATATGTAGGCATTTTTTTTTTTTTGCAAAGCAATCAATATCTGCCCTAAAATAAAATGGTCTGAATTTATGCTGCGCCAAAATACCGGTGGCGCTGTCAATAATGCTGTTTAGAATAGCCCTTGATATATATATACACACATATACATATATATATATATATATATATATATATATATATATATATATATATATATATATATATATATATATATATATATATATATATATATATATATATATATATATATATATATATATATATATATATATATATATATATATATATATATATATATATATATATATATATATATATATATATATATATATATATATATATATATATATATATATATATAGGCCTTGCGATAAAGCATCAGGCGATGTGAATTTTACGTCCAAGAGCAATTTTGCATGTAGCTAGGGCTATTTGCGTCGAGCTAAAAAATTTTGTTTGAGTATATTTAAAGATATTTTTGAGTGGAATTTTAATGAAGTAATTTATGATTATTTTAACATTTAATAAAGTATTTTAAAAACCGAACGCAGTTGATATAAAAGTTTGAATTACAAAAAAATTAAATATACTTATTATTTACAAGTAGAAAAAATTCAGATTAAAAAAAAAGTTTAAATCTTTTTAAGCTAACATTTTAATAAAATTATTCAGCAATAGCAATGTTGTCGATAAAATTGAACAAAAATACTTTCTTTTAGTTTTAGATTTTTAACTTAAATAATTGTTTTACGGGGGTTTGTTAGGTTTTAAAATTATTCCATAGATTTAAAAATATTTATTAACTGTTAGACGTATTTAAAGTATTTAAGAGTTACTAATTAATAAAACCTTGTCAAAAGGTCATATTTTCATGGGTAAAAGAGCTGTCTCATCAAAAACCAAGTCATGGCAAGTAATTGGCATGCATAAAATGAACATGAGCAATCAACAAATTGGCAGACACTTATGTATTTCTAAGTTAAACATTTGATGGGTTATCAACTTACAAAATAGCAAATAACTCATCACAAAAATCTCAAAAAAAAAAAGACAAATTAAATTTTGGCTTGAGTTGCCAATCGAGATGATTGAAAACCTTGAATCAATTTCATGGCAGTTACAAGCATGTATTTAAAATAACATATTCTCCATCAATATATACTTGTATTTAACTTTTACGTTCCAAAGAACGCTTTTTTGTGTTCTCACTAGATCCAAGTAAGTCTTTTGGCATTTTTAAATATGTATTTTTCTCAAAAACTAAATATCGCATTGCATTTCTGACATTTGATTTCAAATCAATGAACCATGGGAGTCCAGAAAAATAAAAACTCCACATGGTTTTATTATAAACTTTGCTTACATTTTAACTTTGAAAAACCAGATAAATTATGACTTCCTGAAGTTGCTGATTAACACAATCCCAAGTTAAATACATATTGAAGAGCTTAAAAATAGTAAGAATAATGATTCTAATGATAAATAACTGATTTCTCATGATTATATATCAGCGCTCGAAATAACATCCGATCAACAATCAATAATCAGCTATTTTTAGGGAAATTTCGAAAAATTCAAGGGAAAATAAACTGTTTTTGTGAAAAAATTATATTTGATCGGCAAGCTTTGAAAAACTTTTGAGCGCATATATATATATTTTAGTTTATTTTTCTAACCTTAAAAAGTTAATTTAGACTTATGATTTGAAATCTAAAATGTTATTACACTTTTTGTTAACCTTGTTTTTCTTTATGTAAAAGTTGCTATTCAACATTTAATAAAACTTTAGTTAAGGTATAATACTAGTACTTCCTAGAAATGTTCATGTCATATATGTGTCAATATATTTTCAAGGCGACAAGATATTTGGTTAGTTCCTTAAGATATTTACTCATAGTTTTGCTAAAACTATGAGTACAATTTTTTCAAAATAAGAATAAAATAAAAGTACTACTAGTATATATTTTGATTATTCTATTTAAATATGATGTCAAGAATGGGATGTTAAAAATTTATTTTTTATTACCTACATATATGTTTTGGCCTGTTTTTTTCTTAAAAAATGTCTATTTATTGAAAAAAGTGCTATAAGAAATATTTTATTAAAAAAAAAGTTTTTTAGATTGACACTGTATAAATTTTATGATAGGTATTGTGTCTATCTATATAAGTTATGTAAATATACTCATTTGTTTTTCAGAAAAACTTTACTTTAGGGTTTAGACATAACATTGACATAAAATCTTATTTTTAATATACCTATGACTTAAGCTAAAAATATTTCACGTCTAAAGGTTATAATATTTCATTTCAGAAAGGATTTTGAGTTTTTTTTTTCTAAGTTGTGTGTATGTTTTTTCTTTAAATAATTGGCCATGAAAAAAAAAAAAAAAAACATAGACCCTGATTAGGTCTCTGTACCAGTCTAAACTTCCATTAACTTGCAAAAAAAACAAGTGCGTTAAAACAGGGACAACTGAATAAGCAAATTTCATAAGTGCGAACTGGCATAAACTCAAATCGGCACAAGTGCGAACTGGCATAAGTGTGAATTGGCATAAGTGCGCCAAAAGAATTTCCAAACATTGGCATAAGTGCAAACTGGCATAAGTGCAAAGCAGTTACAGAAACTAGCATAAGTTCGAATTGGCATAAGTGCGCCGAATAAATTTACAAACATTGGTATAAGTGCGAATTGGCTTAAGTGCGAATTGGCATAAGTGCGCTAAATAAAATTGCAAATATTGACATAAGTGCAAGTTGTTATTTCGCTCTTATGCCAATTCGCATTTATGCCAATGTTTGCAAATTTGTTCGGCGCACTTATGCCAATTCGCTCTTATGCCAGTTTTTCCAATTCAGCTTTGAAATTAATCTTGGGCATCTTCATTCATTGAGGGATAATCACTTTCACTAACATTGGGTTCATTGTTATCGTCGTTCTCAACCATTTCTCCTACAAAATCATCTACTTCACCACAAAAGTCTTTTAAATGCAAAATTTTATTAACCGCATTTCAGAATTTCATTCTGACCTCTTCATCGTTGTCGGCTAACATTCTAATGACAATATTATTACTATTAGCAAAATAACTGTTATTATCTACAACTTTATAACAAATGTTGTTGTTGGTGATTTTAATGCCCATCACACTGAATGGCTTGGCTCTAACACCACTGATCCTGCTGGCACTAAAGCCTTTAACTTCTGCGTTTCTCAATCTCTTACTCAGATAGTTAACTTTGTGACTCGTTTTCCTGACAACCCTAGTCATTTACCTTCACTCCTTGACTTATCTCTTGTCTCTGACCCTAGCTTATGTTCAGTTTCTCCCTTTTCTCCCTTAGGTGGTTCTGACAACGCAATGATCTCTGTAAATCTTTCTTCTTGTACTTCTTTTTTGGGCTCACCTTATCATCGCACCACCTACTACTACCCTAAAGCTGACTGGGATTCCTTTCGTGATTTTCTTCGTGATGGTCCTTGGGCTGATGTTTTTTCTCTCTCAGCTGACAAATGCGCCTCCTACGTAACCTCCTGGATTCAGGCTGGAATGGAAGCTTTTATTCCTTCTCGTCGGTTTCAAGTCAAGCCTCATTCTACTCCATGGTTTTCTCCTTCTTGTGCGGCTGCTATATCCAATCGTAACCATTTTTTTCATCTTTTTCAAAAGAACAACTCTCTTGAGAACAAATGGCTATTTATTATTGCAAGAAATCGATGTAAAAAGGTGCTTTCTGATGCTAAACTCCATTATTCTCAGTTCACTAAATCTCGCATCTTATCGCAGAAGTTAGGCTCTAAAGACTTTTGGAAAATCTTCAACAGCATTATTAACAAGGGTAGATCTAACATTCCATCTCTCATTCATGGGACTGATCTTGTTACCTCTCCCAGGGATAAGGCAGAACTGTTTGCAAAGAACTTTTCTTCTAATTCCACTCTTGAATCTTATGGACATTCTCTTCCTTCCATTCCAGTCAAACAGATTAACCCATTGTTAGACATTCAAATCACTCCGGCTTCTGTTGCTAAAGTCATATCTCAATTAAACTCGTCTACAGCTTGTGGTCCAGACAACATTCCTGTCACAGTCTTGCAGAATTGTTCTCCAGAACTTTCTTCAATTCTCTCTAAACTATTTAACAAGTGTTTGACTGAGGGTTGTTTTCCTGCTTGTTGGAAAATGGCATCTGTGGTTCCAATATTCAAAAACTCTGGAGAAAATTCTGACCCCTCCAATTATCGTCCGATCAGTCTTCTTTCTGTTATTAGCAAGGTCTTTCAGTCTTTGATCAACAAATTCCTCACATCTCATCTTGAGTCAAATAAACTGCTGTCAGACAATCAATACGGTTTTCGATCCTCTCGCTCTACGGCCGACTTGCTAACTGCTGTAACTGAAAGATTTTATCGTGCATTAGATGGAGGCGGTGAGGCTACGGCTATTGCTCTCGACATATCTAAAGCTTTCGACAAAGTTTGGCATGCTGGTCTTCTCCATAAGCTTGCTTCATATGGTGTTTCTGGGAAAGTTTTTGAGATTATCAAATCATTTCTTTCTGACCGGTTTATTAAAGTCATCCTTGAAGGCCAACACTCTTCTTTATTTCCAGTAACTTCTGGGGTTCCCCAAGGTTCCATCCTGGGCCCTGTTTTGTTTCTTATCTACATAAACGATCTTCCTGACAACCTTTCATCTAAAGTTGCTCTTTTTGCTGACGACTCAACTTTATACTCCTGTCTTGACAAAAAATCTTCTCTTTTCCATCGCCTAGAACAAGCAGCTGATCTTGAATCTGATCTCACTTCAGTAATAGATTGGGGTTCACAGTGGCTTGTGAATTTCAACTCTAAAAAAACCCAATTGCTTACTGCAAACAACTACCGTAGTATGGTCAACATTCCTATATTAATGAATGGCGATCCTCTTACTGAGTCGTCCTCTTTACGTCTTCTTGGATTATCGCTTACTACTGACCTTTCATGGAAACCATATATACAATCGATTGCTAAATTAGCTTCTGCAAAGGTTGCTTCTCTTTATCGTGCTCGCCATTTCCTTACTTTTGATTCCATTCTCTACCTCTACAAATCTCTTATTCGTCCCTGTATGGAATACTGTTGTCATATTTGGGCTGGTTCTTCTAACGATTCACTTTCTCTTCTTGAAAAGGTCCAAAAACGCATTGTAAATGTTGTTGGACCTGGACTATCTGCTAAGCTTGAACCTCTTTCCCATCGTTGTAAAGTTGCATCTCTTTCTCTTTTCTACAGATACTATCATGGTCACTGCTCAAAGGAGTTATCATCTCTAGTTCCATCAACTAAAATTCATTCTTGTTTTACTCGTCATTCAGCTAAGTCTCATTCGTTTACTGTATCTGTCCCAGCATGCTCTAAAAACTTTTATTCATCTAGTTTTTTTCCCCGCACTTCAATCCTTTGGAACTCTCTCCCATCTTCATGTTTTCCTGACTCCTACAACCTTCAACTTTTCAAGTCTTCTGTCAACCGTTTCTTTGCTCTATAACTCTGTTCTTTTTTTTCCTAGTAACTCCCAACTTAATAGTGGTTGCTTGCAGCCTTGTTGGGAGTGAATGCAAATTAAAAAAAAAAAAAAAAAAAAAATGTTCTTAGCATTTGAATCAGAAAAGTTATTATATATAGATTCTGCATGCTGTTAGCCAACAAAAATGAATCATAGGTCCAACTTCTAAGAAGGCCAAATCAGTATCAATGTTCCCTGTGATTACACCTCAATAGATGCAGTAAGCATAGCATTTGTCATAGCATAGCTATGACAAAAATTGGATTTGGAATTGGACTAAACTTAGCAACACCCAATTTAGAAACATTGCAAATCAGCTGTGAGCCAATGGCTCCAGATAATTTATATGGCCCGTTGGTAGTTCCATCAATTTTCAAAAAAATATGCCTTAAAGGTAGCTTATTCATTTAGAGGCAAAATGCAAATATCCCACTGTAATCAACTCCTAGAAAAACATTCAAATATCTAATGGGACCATATAAGTGACCAGTATTAACATTGGTTCCATCTGCCTTTGCTAAGTTTAGTCTTATTTGAAGCCTCTTTCCTTGCAGTGTTTTCTATAATCCATGAGGTACATCTATTCCCTAGGCCCTTTTTGGTGTGATGTGATCAAGAGTCACCTGAAAATAGAAATTTCTTATAACAGATATAGAATTTTTTACAAAATAGGTAGTTTAGTTTTCATAATTTATAGATGCTTGCTTACCTAACTCTTACTTAGTATTACTTACCTGGTTCACCAGTGATCATATATTTTCCATTAATTTCACAATTCGCAAAGGTTGCATCTCTAATGTCATCGAAGTCTTTGTCTGTAATTTTTTTTTGAACAGGATCTTTTCGTTTTGCGGTTCTGCTCGCATTTTTTCCTTTTCCTTCCTTAATTCATTTCTGAAAGATATTGTTGTTTTAAAGCAATTATAGTTATAATAATTATAACTAAATGATTGTAGATAAGTATTTAGCAGTAATTTGTATGATAGAAATACTTGTCAATGTTGTGCTGCCTTTTGTCTTTGGTGATAACTCCAAAATCTACCATTGAAGCAGAAGCTGCACTGGCTCTATCACTTATTTAATACATGAAAAAGAGATTTTTATTAATAATAGCTTTTAATAAGAATTCAGTATGAATATATCTGAATGTCCAATGAAGCATTAATTTGAAAGATTTTTTTGTCTGTTTGTTTTTTTGTTTTTGATTTTTGTAACTTTTAATGACAAAATTAAAATAAATAAATAAAAAAAAAAAAAAACAGGTAAATAACCTGTCGCACATTTCAGCAAGCATTCATAACGTTCGACTTTGCTCAGACTTTCTTCACTATAATCAGGATCTGAATCATTGCTAATTTGAAATGGCGTTTCAGCATCTAATTATTCTATTTCTCCAGGTACTTGAGGACTTACTTCTCTAAGTGGTTGAAAAGAGCAGCTTGCTTTCATCTCAGAAAAATCCAGTTTCCCTGCTTTCTTTAAACTAAAACTTTCTTGAATAACTCTTTTTTTGATTTTGGCTTTAGAAGGTGTTTCAGGAACTAGTTAAAAAGTGCAGTAGCCATGCCTGTTAGTGATTTGATCCTGAAACAGAAAAGTTCTATTAAACAGTTTTTATCTCTAGCTACTGGATGTCATATGTAATTATAAGTTTGAATTGAGTATTTGAGTAAATGCTTAAATACTGGGCCTAAAGTTCTGATGTTATGATCACCTTATAAAACTTGTAATCTTTATCTGTCATTTTTAATAGAAACTTCTTTTCAATTTCTGCTAATTTTTTGTGGTCTTTTTGATGCAACATCAAATGATTCATATTTTTGAAATTTTTAAATAATTTTCGTTCATTTGAGACCCATTATAAAAAACTTCTTTTTAACTACTTTTGAAAAACTTTTTTGATAACATTTGAGACCTGTTTGATGTTTAAGGTTCTTGTGGCACCCCTAAAAATATTTTTTATTAATAAGTGTTTTTTTTTCTTAATAAAAATTATGAAAATGAAGCAAAGATACGAGTTTTGTACATTTAAACAGTCACAGTACAATAAAAATGTTATGTTAATAATTCTTTAGTTTCAATTTAAAAAGTTTAAATTAGCTTGAAAAATTTCTTTAAAATTAAATTTTCTCTGTGGTACATTTTGTGGGTACTGTTGGTCGCTTTTTAAAATTTGTTCCCTTGCATTTGTTTTACTACATGATGAACTCCTTCAAAAAAATTTTCCTAATTTTTTAACAGCCTAATAGTTTTTGATATGTTTTGGCGCCATGGCTTGCATAATATGTTTCTTAATGACTTTGAATTATAGTTTAAAACCTCAGAAGGAGGTCTAAGTAATGACTTTTTATTCTCTAACAACTAGATAACAATTAGTGGATATTTTTAACTTACTGGTGTAGATACCGTGTATCTGCTTGAGCTTCATTTTAAGTAAGATATAATAATGATCCAACATGGAAGGGGGGGGGTTGAAATATATCACTAAGTTATATTTGTGTTATAAATCCAAGTCATGTTATTGATCCAAAACATATTCGAAACCGTAGTCGTGCTATTGATCTAAAATAATGGTAATCTTGCTTTTAAATTCTTTTTTGATTATTTAATTACAACTACATTACAATTACATTGCATTCAGAACCAAGAATACTTATGCATTCTTTGTTTTGTTAAAATATCTGTACAATGTTTCTTAAAGTTTTTATAGAAAATTTTTTATAAGGAATTGTAAATTTTTCATCGCATTAAAAAAATATACTTCTCTTTTTTGATAACTATGATATGCTTAAAAAAATAGCTAATAAATAAAGGAATATTTTCCAGCCCACCACTATCACTAGTCATATCCTTTCGGTGAAACCCTTGCTGTATTTTCCGTATTTAAGTTTAAACAATGACTTTTGAAAATTTAATTTTGCAAAATTCATTATTTAGACTTAAATTTTGCTTGTTTGTGAACAAGTTTTAACAAGTTTATGTTTATTTTAGACCGTATCGGAAGCTCTTCGAGAAGCCTGCTTAGCTGCTTATTGTGGAAAAGCTATCAACAGTATTTAAATTCTTGCCATCAACAAAATTTAAATTCTTGCGCACTTTCTCACAAATCTTTATTTGCGTTTTTGTGTGTATATTTCGTAATAAATTAATACTATTAATTTGTTGATGTTTGTAAATAAATTATAATAAATTATACCTTTTTAATAAAAGTCGCAGGTTACTTTAAATCAGTGATGTTAACAAGAACCGAGTTTCAAAGGACAAGGAAAAAGACCTTACTAGTAATGAACAAGGATTATGTCAAATAACCGAATATGATGTTAAGGGTTTATTTCTTATTACGTCTACATTTACACAACACACGAAAATTAAACGAAAAAAACAGCAAGGTTACAAAAGCTTTTATAGGAAAAAGATTATTTACCCTACCAAAGCTTGAGAAGCTTAATTTTAATTATTAAGTTTTAATTAATAACAACTATAATAAAAATTAAAATTGGATTCTCAGGCAGTGAAAAAGTGTACTATTTCAAACCAAAATGTGCGCGGGATACATACTTAAATTTAGTTTTTTTAGTTTACATATCTTAGCCTAATTAAAGCCTAATAGCCAATAGGAATGAGCAAAATCGGATATCCGCTCCGGTTTGCTGAAATCTGATTCAGATTTTAACGAACCGGATCCGATATCCACAAAAAATTTTGCTTACCCCAAACATACATTGGAACGCGAAAAAAAAATGCGTTTTGCGTTTGCGTTCCAAAATAAAAACTCACACGCAAACTCAAACGCATTTGACGCAACTTATTGCATTTACTAACGTAAACGTAAGCGCAGTTTACGCAAATAACCGCGTTTACGCTAGCATTTAATACGTAACTTACGCATATAAAGTGTGTTTATAAACGTAGCTCAAACGCAACTTACTCGAATAAATGCGTTTGCAAACTTGATACAAACGCGACTTAACTAATCTATTTTAAAAAATGCATCTTTTCAAGAAAACGCGAATTATTAAGTAATTACTTTTTATTTTTTAATTCAAAGATATAATATAATTTTTTATTTAAACCGTTGCACAGTGGATCAAAAGTGACATTTTCTAGCCAAAACCTCTAAAAGCAAAACTTTTTTATTTTTTTTAATTAGAAATAGTTTATTATATTGAAAAACATAATTTGTGGAAAAAATGACATTTGTTTTTTTAAAAAACTTCAAATTTTATTACATAATTACGCCAATTATTAAAAAAATCATTTACTTTCCATTTATAAAAAATTCCGTTTTTACCCAACAAAATTAACAACAAGAATATTTAAATTTATGTTTTATGCAGAGTATTCTATCGTTGGCTCTTGCAATAGTTCAAGTACACCAGATGGTAGACTTTTTTGTTATGTATCTTCTTTCTTAATTTGCAAATTAAAGGATCAGATGCACATAAAAGGCGGTGAAAAAGGTCTATATTGTTTATTTTCCGATCGCATTTTCTTGTAAAATTTTCACGAAAAATTTTAAAAACCTTATTGGTAGCCTCTTGAGCCTCTTCAGAAAACATACCTAATGGAAGAGTAAATAGTTCAATGACTTCATAGCCATGAATCAAAATCTTATGAAGTGTTTGAGTCATAGGATACCAAGGGTACAGGAATACATAGAGCAAAGCAGTTTCCCAACAGAATGTTTTAAATTTGGATTAGTTAATTTCATAACCACTTGATATTGTGGCCAAAATAATATGAAGCCTTTTCATAAGATCTACATCGATGTTCATTATACTAGCTGAGACATCGTATTGCTGAAAAAATCGCCTAGCTGTATTGCTATCGTTTGATGTACCTGCCCCACCTATTCTCGGTTGGTCTATGAAAAGACCTATCCTTGTTCGAAATTCAGCACAGACTACAAGCTTTCTCAGTTTAACAATATTTTTTTCGTCTTGATTTCTAGCCTGCCACTTCATAATCGGCATCTTATAAGAACTATGGAGCATACATTCTAAAAACCTTATCCAAGCATGCAAAGTTGAAACGCCATGTTTTATATTGCCTTCTAAAGTGTTTTTTTGAATAACTAAAGATAAATTGTTCATTTCGATTGGAGATGCACCACACACTGAACAGCATTGGTATGAGTTGGTTGCTGTGGAAATAATAGTTTGAATTTTTCCATCTATCATTGTTAAATTTACAATATGTTGTACTTCAACTTCCTTTATTGTACCGTCCTCCAATAAAACAGGTACAACAGATAATTTTATCTCTTTAATAGAAGCCATAATTGACTCATATTCTGCAAGAATTACTTCATTTGATTCTTTTCTATATTTATATCTCAGAGGTCTGCAGTAATTAGTTGACGATGGTTTCGGATTTCTCCAAACAACCTGTTTTTTGTCATCTTTGAAACAATATAGTTCTAGAGGAACCAAGCAAGTTATGAAATGAAGTATGAAGTTCACTAGAAACATCTGACAGTTGTTTATAAACAGATTGTCCTATTGCACCATCAAAACCAGCTTTGTATATTATAAATAGTTTAGTACAATTTTTAAGCACATGTGAATTTAACACAACACTATAAGCTGAACATATTCTTGATGCATTATGAAAAAGAAGAGCTTGTAATGGAACCTCTGCAGAGTAGTCACTGACCTGAATGTTTTCAGGGTAGCATTTATTTTTAGCCTCTTTTACAATATGACAGGATGGGTATAGAGAGCTGAATGGAAAAACATTGTTTCTTAAATGCTGATAAGTTTCTTTGGATAAATTAGTATCCAAGACTAGCGCTAATGATTGTTCTGAAGTAAGTGATTCTGTCGATAATTCTTTGTTGTATATTTTTTTAACCACTTTTGCTTCTATAAACCTTTTATCCCTTTTCAAACTTTTACTTGCTGCATATAAAAGTTCATTTAAATTATATTTACTCAAAAGCTTTTTAATTATGCGATCTTTAGTTCTCACAGACGCATCTTCAAACAAAATCGAAGGGCGTCCACCTTTAAGTATAATATTATTTTATCAATTATTAAATCGTCGTTATCAAGTTATCATTAGATTCTTCAAAATTGCTTTGGGAAACAAAACTCAAAATCTTTGCATATAAATCATCATTTTGTAGTAAATTATTTTCCATTATATAATTCATAAGACATCTTCTATCCATTTTTAAGAGATTGTCTGTTCAATAAAATACTTTTAATTTGAAAGAAAGTAATTTAAAATGTTTTCAATAAAGTAATTTTTTTACTAGCAGTAACTATGAAACTCAGTTCCTTTCCTTTATTTCTCATTGGTTGTTATCGTGTTTTTATCGATTACATATAATTTTATTGTTTTCGGAAACTATAAAATATAATTAATAAATATTATGTCCCAAACTTGTACTACGTAGAAGTATATAATTCATATTTTATCACAGTCTCTGAGTTTTTATTACTTTAAAACGGTAGCATAAAAAATTAGGAATAATGGTTTCAATGCGATCTAAATGTTCATTGAGCAAATACGAGGAAGTTACTGGAAAGCAATTAAAAAATACAAAAATATTTAATTTTAAACTTATGTCTTTAATAAAAATTATTATAAAGTCAAACTGCAGTTTTTAAATTTTAAATCTTAAATTTTTAGTTATCGATCAAAAACGCATTAACAAGAAACGTGGACGTAGTTAATTGAATTTAAAAGTGTATTCGTTTAGGCAGCTATAGGCAGCCAATTTTTATACCACAAGATCAATGTCAAATTGGTATTCAATTATATATCATTTTAAGCGGTTGATACAGGTTGATCCGATGGTTTTAAATGATATTTTTGAAAAAAATAAAAACTTATAACTCAAAATTATTGATGTTTGCATTGTTAAAAATATTTATACAAAATGCAAAAAATATTTTTTTTTATGTGATTTAAATATTAACATAATACTATATAAGTCATTTATAAGTTAAAAAATAAACTTAAACTTCTTTAAAATAAGAAATCAAAGTTTTCAAAAGATGTAAAAAAATAAAATTTTTACACTTTTTTGTTGTTATTGATAAAAAGTATTTAAGGAAATATTAAAACAACAAATATGGCGTTTTATTGAAAAATTATTTTTTAATAAAATATAATTTCTGGCTTATTAATATATTGTGCAAAATTTGCCTTTTTCAAAATTTCAAAATTTAAAAACTTTTTGTATGGTTTTGCCGGCTTCTGACCCACTGTGCGTTGTGTTATTAAAATTATTGTTATTACTGAAATTATTGCATTATATGTTCATTTTATTTTTGTGCTTTTCATGTTCAAAAAAACATTATCTTTATTATAAGTTTCACTATCTGAGTCATTGTCGTCCAAAAAAACATTTAAACTTTCAAGAAGTTTTAAGTTTACTTTTAACAATGAGCGACTGATATTTAAATCGGCATTTGTGTTGCCTCGTTTCTTCTCACATACACACCCAGAAATACTAAAATATCTCTCTATAAAAGCTGATGATGATAGAATGTTTAGTAAGATGACAAATAGTTTTCGTAACATTGGCAGTTTAGAATTTTCGAACCAAATATCATAAGAAGGATACACAGATATAGTAAGCCCTTTTTCTTCGATTTGCTTTAAAAAGTAAAGTTTAAAGTTAAGTTGTAAATTAGGCTGCCGAGCTTTGGGCAACAGTTATCATCTAGCGTAAATCTGCTGAGCGAATCAGTTTGCTGATCATTTGAACTCAATCATTCTTTCGTTTGTGTAAGTTCATTTCCTGAATGCGATTCTGAAGCACTTCGATATTATGCGGCTTAAAGAGTTTCAGGAGTTCGTGTATCTTTTCTACTGCTCTTAAACAATTTTGGGTTGTAATACAAACTTTAATATAATAAACTAATATATGGAATTATTTAATATTATAAATAAGGTTTTGAAGAACTATTTTTTAAACTAAATTTTAAAACTTTTTTTTGTCTTAATATAACTTAATAACTAAATACCTTTAATAATAAATGACAATCAGGTATAAAGAACCCCAATTTAAGCTTTGAGATATTCAAAAATAATACTACTTGATAAATTCCTGAGTTAAGTTCGTACTGAAACTTTAATTTAAAAGAAGAAATTAACAATTCCATTCTACTCCATTTTGAAATCATAATAGTTAATGCATGCAAAA